CTGTCTTCAACCCCAGCTCAGGGCAGGAATGCAAAGGCCCAGGGGAATGGGGTGGGGCAGAGGTCGGAATTTTCGCTTTTGGAGCCCTTAGAGCCAAAGGCCTCCTCCAACCCCATGCCTTTGTTCTGCAGATGAAGAAATGAGCTCAGAGAAGAGACAAGAATTGCCCAAGCTCACCCTGGGCATTACCAGAAGCTTCAGCTTGCAGCAGGAAGGCCTTGCTGGCTGGCCCTCACACCAGGCCAGGTGTCCTTGGGACTTCCTCTAGAGGTGGGAGGTGGAGGCTGGGTGTCCCCGGGGTGTGGGGCAGTCCCCTGCAGTCCAAACTGCCTTGCCCTGAGGGCTGATAAGAGTCTTCTTCCTGGCAGGCCTTCAGCTGGGAAATTCCTCCAGGCAGGGAACCAGGTTCGAGGGCTGGAAATCCCAGCTGTACAGGAGCAGAGCTGCTCTCTGGACAGCAAGGGCCCCCAGAGAGGGCAGGCACCTGGCCACTTCCAGTAGCCTGGGTCAATCCCCCCTTTTCAGACAGATCAGCCTCACCAATTTCAGACTCGACTGTGTCCAATGCCACCTTCAAGCGGGGCAGGCCAGAACCACGTCCTGGGATTTTCTAAGGAAACCATCCAGAGCTGCTGGGAGCCAGACCTAAGGGGGTCGCGTCCCCTTGGCCTGGTCTTGATCCCAAACGGACCTATTCTCTTTCCAGCTGATCCCCTGGCTCTTGGAATAGCAGGACCCAGGACATGAATTGCTTGTAATGAATTGTGGATGCTCGCATTATCTGAGCCATATTTGTGTCCCACTCCACCCATGATTCCTGGATATTAAGGAGGGCAGCCGGCACTTAGGTGAGGCGGGGAGGAGGGGGCAAAGGAAGTCAGGCAGTCATTCTCCAATCTGTATCTTCCTTTTTGATCCCATCACCATGACCTCCTCCACCTCCTCCTCCTTCACCCCTCTCTCCCGATCCAAGGAGCCAACCTTGCTGACAGACAGATGGACCGATGGACAGAGGGCTTCCTTTGCCTGGCTAAATTTTGGGGCCAGTGCCGTGCAGTGGGGGCCTGTGCTCATCCTGGGGGCCAGCCCAGGCCTTCAGGGGATTCGGCACAAGGCTCCAATGGGTCTCCTTAGCTACTTGGACACCCTTGCTTGGAGCACACACATGTGCTCCTGTTGGAGCCTCAGTTCTGACCCTGACATTCAGAAAACAGACTGTCATGGAGGATTCTTTCGCTTGGCATTGTCACATCCAGACCACGACCCAAAGAAAAAGAAGTAAAAGCAATTACATTTCTCTTCCCAAATCTCTTTTTTGGCTAATAATTTTGCCAGAGTAAGACAGGCAACTGATAGGATCAATGCATCTTTTACCGGTTCTAAAGTACATCTTTCCCTCCAGGACTATGTTTTCCCGCCCTTGCCCCAACTCCAGCATCCCCAGGGACGGACACCTGTGATTATTCTGGGCGTTGTGGGGCACAGGGGTGGGCAGGGCAGGGGCCAGAGTTTACAGAGGACATGGTGCTTTCACACCCCACAGATTTTCTTTAAAACAGCCCTGTGAAAAAAAATAAATAAATAAAAAATAAAACAGCCCTGTGATGTAGGTACTGAAAACCCCCATTTTACAGATAAGGAAACTGAGGCTCTAGAAATTGAATGCCTTGCCCAAGTAGCTCCCATGTCTGTTAATGGCTGGAAAGGAGGCTCCCCAAAGTCTGAGAGCTTGGCCCAGAGCCCACCCCAAGACTCCAGGTCTTGAGAGCTGCCAGACCTGCCTTATAAGCCCAAAGGCCAAGTGGCTGGCTGTGGTACGGGGCCAGACCTTGTAGGGAGACAAGGCAGTGCTGCCAAGCCCTCAGCCCCAGAACAGCCTCCTCTGCCTTGCTAAATTTAGCAGCTCCATGGAGTGTAGAGGGGGCCTGTGTCCATCCTGGAGGCCAGCCCAGGCCTCAAGGGGGTCAGCACAGTTTCCAATGGGTCCCTCAATGGGTCCCCTTAGCCATTCAGGGTCCCAAGGTTGCAGGGATGACACCTCTGCTTGAAGAGTCCAGGCCAATCCCCGACACTGGGCCTTCAGTGTCCCGGGGCTCACTCAACGCCACTCAACTCCTTAGATGCTGGCCAGAACAGGGCCCTGGGCCAGCGTAACAGAGATGGTCAAAGGGAGGTTGTAGGGGCAGGCATTTATGGGGAGGCCACAGCAAGAATCCTCATGGTTGGCTTCTCCCAGACCTTGCACTACTTCTCTGGCCTCTTCGACCCTCCCCAGCTATGGGCCATGACCTGGTTAGAGCCCCTTCTCCATGGCATCTGAGACATCACAACCCCCTGGTTCTCCTTGGTCCTTTTGGGTCATTTCCTCTTGGTCCCCATCCCCTTCCTGCTCCTGGAATGTGGGCACTCCTTGGGCTGACCTAGGTCCCTGCCCCTCAAACACTGAGCGCCCCTTGGGAGGCTTGTCTCCTTGCCTCCTGATGTTGCTGAAACTTCTACACCCACATGCCCACCCACCTCCTCGGACTCCTACCTCTTTCTTTTCTTCTAAATCAAACTATATTGAGGTGTAATTGACATACAATAAAATGTACCCATTTTAGGCACAGGTTTGAAGAGTTTTGACAACTGCATGTAACCCCACCCCCACCCGTCATCTGACACCCTAGAATGTTCCCTCCAGTTCTTTTGCTGTCAATCTTTCCCTAACCCCCAGGCAATCACTGGTCTGTTTTGTCAGTAGATTTGTTTTGCTTTTTCTAGAACTTCATGGAGGTGGAATTGCACAGTATGAGCCTCTTTCACTCAGCACAAGGGTTTCAAGCTTCATCCGTGCTGTTGCATATATGAAAAGTTTGCTCCTTCTTTTCACTGAGAAGTATTCTGTTGTATGGACATACCACAGCTTGTTGTCCTTCCCCTACTTTTTTTTTTTTTTAATGTTTTATTTATTTCTAGGAGAGAGAGAGACAGCGTGAGAAGGGGAGGGTCAGAGAGGGAGTCACAGACTGAAACAGGCTCCAGGCTCTGAGCTGGCAGTCAGCACAGAGCCCGACGCGGGGCTCGGAATTCTGGTTTTATGCTTTTAGACTGTTTTTGTCTTTTGGTTTTTTCTTTTCTTTTCTTCTTTTTCATTTTTTACTTTATTTTTATTTTTGTTATTTGTTTTTCCTCCTTCCTCCTTTTTCTTCCCCTTCTTTTTTTTTTTTTTTTNGGGGCTCGAACCCACGAACCGCGAGATCATGACCTAAGCGAAAGTCGGACGCTTAACCGACTAAGCCACCCAGGAGCCCCTGTCCTTCCCCTACTGATGGTCATTTCGGTTGTTTTCAGTTTGGGGCTATTATGAGTAAAGTTGCCACAGAGAGTTGGGTTCAGTTCTTGGTGTGGACATTAGGTCTTCACTTCCTGATTTTGCCCCTTCATTTCTCCCAGTGTGGCCCCAATGAAGTCTCCCTACCCCTGTAAGGGACGCAGCATGCAGCATGGGGGCCATGGGGAGTACAACATAGGCCGGCCAATGGAGGGGGCAGGGCAAGGCCACGGACATTTTGGCAGCTGCCATCCCCGAGCCAGTGAGAAGTGTGCCAGGGCCTGCCCCGGAATTCCCTCTTGGGTGAGTGGCTGTGAGGTAGGAAACCTCTGTTTACCTTGGCTGCTCCATCCTGACCTGTCAGGCTCCATGCTGTGGGCTGGCAAGGCTGGATTTGTGCAGGCCTGGGTGGGGACAAACGTGAGGCTGGCCTGGCTGTGACCTCCAGCAGCTGATGGGAGTGCAGGAACGGCCCTGTCTCCTAGGCAAGTCCCCCCTCCCCCCCAGACCATCTTAGCTCCATGCTCTGCTTATACACCAGGAGGAAGCCACCTACATAGTCAGGCTCTCAGGGAGCCTTGGGGGTCTTTTATCTGTAAAATGGAGCCCTAACCCCTGCTTGACCCACCTCAAGGAGCTGGCTGGGCACCCAGGGAGATGCAGAGTAGGGAAAGGTTTTGGGATCTGAGAGGTCTTCCTGATGGACCATGCAGAAGGAGGAATCCTGCCCATCCTTGGCCCCAGCTGTGAGCTATGCACCAGGTCTCACCCTTCCCCAAATAAAATCTAGGAGCTCCTAAGGGAGTGTTCTATCTCTTCCAGTCACGGCTGGCTTAATGGATGTGGGCTCTGTGCAGGAGCCCATGATCAGAAAGGCCCTGCCCTTGGTTTTAATGCTCTGCTGTCACTATTATGAAACTCTTAATTTTTAAACAAAGGGCTCTGCATTTTCATTTTGTAAGCAGCTGAAAATTTCCATAGTCAGTCCTGTCTCTGGCTCTGTGGGTGCAGACTGATTTCCCTTCCCAAGGCAGCTGGGCAAAGGATTAGATACAGAAACTTCATGAATGAATCTTCCTACAGAGAAAGGAAATAAGGGAGATAGGGGCGCACAGCTATCCCTTTCACAGAAGGCAGGGCCACGTGGGTGAGTCAGGAGTTAATATCAAGCAGCCTCTCAAAGGCTCTTGGACAATGTGAGCTGAAGGAAGTCTTGGGGAGGTGCCTTTGAGCTGGGCTTAGGAGGGAAAGAAATTGAAGGCATTCTGGGGTTCAAGGAAGACAAGGAAGCAGAGTGAGAAACCTCAGGGAGAGATTCAGGACCCACAGCATGGTCAGGGCTGGACGCCCTGGATATTTAGGTCCCAGGCCTAGCCCTGCCCAAGACCAAATCATGAGCCCCTCCCAGCCTGTTTCCTCACTGATGACATGTGATTTTTAACATGTGCAAAGGACTCTGAACACAGGCACCAACTATCAAGTACTGTCCCTGTGAGGAGCAGAGCTGTGTCTCTGCCATTTGGGAGTGGCTCAGGAAGGCAGTGCCTTGTCTCAGAGGAAGAGGGCAATCCCTCGCCAGCAATGTGGGAACCCCAGACTTTGGCTCTTGTTTCCTGAAGGGAGTTGGGTAGTTTGTGGGAGCCAGGTAGACACAGGGGCGGAGCCGCTCACTAGGAAACCAGATGGGGATGGTCCTCCATTGCCCCAGGCACTCAACCTTTATTTCTCTACCAACTGCATGTTGACAGATGGATTCAGGACCCTGCCACCCTCCCCCACCTCAAGGTCTCCCTTCCCTCCAGCAATACAGAAGCAGAGAATCTCTGTGGGCTAGTGCCCAAGGGAGCCCCACCTAACTGTTTCTCTATTGGCCTCTCCAGAAACTTGGAGAGAGGGATGGAAAGGTGTGGTACAAGGTCAGAGCCTGGTGCCTATTTGTCTGCAAGGCAGGCTAAGGGGGCTTTTTGCTTCTGGGGGACAGGACAGGGATGTGAGTCTTGATTTACATATAAAATAATCACTTGATACACTCTCCAGGAGGGGTGAGGATGTACATTGACCCACTGTTTTCTTCTATGCCTAATTCTGGCCAGAGGGGCAAAAGCTGAATTAAAAGAATATTTATGTCCATCAAACACTCTTTTCCCATCATCTGACATGATCCACATGGGCACAAATTCCTCCAGCAATGATGGAGGGAGAGTAAGTGCTGTTGGGTAACTAGCCATTCTTAGTGACATCCTTTCAGCTCATGGATACGAGGGGTTGGATGTGACGAGTGAGGCCAGGAGTCTGGAGGACTCAGAATCGCCCAGCTGAGCAGACTTTGGGATGGTGGACACAGGGGTGGGCTGAAAGGGCACAGTGATCAGGTACCCAAGGATGTCTGGGGCCGTAGGCACCGGGGATATGTAGGGCAAATCCAGCCTCTGCTTGGCAGACTGGACAGCACCGTGACTCGGCATGTCTCATTTGCTTAGGACAGGGAAATCTCCAGCTGGGAGTGTCCAGAGCTGAGGCAGGCAAGCCAGCTGTCTCCTGGGAAGGGGATCCTTGCCCAGCCCCCCCACCCCACTACCATGTTCCTCTCTGACCCTTCAACCCCTTGCACAAATAAACAGTAAGAGGCTTAACCCTCACGTGCCAACTTTGTGGGAAGAGAACAGAGTGGAGGGGGTGTTATCCGCCCTCTCTGTGCACAGCTGGGCCCAGATGTCCTCCCCTTCACCACCACCACCACCACACACACACACACACACACACACACACACTCCGCCGCCCCACTGACCAGGCAGCAGACGGCACTAAGCGAGAGGTCAGAGCTAGCAAGAACTCCAGGAGTCCTCCATCAGTACAGAAGCACCAGTCACCAAGTAAATGCTCAGCCTCCAAGCAAGGGGGTGCCTGCTCCCAAATGTGTTCATGGCTTCAGGGGTTGAGGGATCGGCTTCCAGCTCCGGCTTCCGGGCAGCTCCCTCCGAGGCGGCTGATCTTGAGCTGGAACTTCAGAGGTGAACCTCCCAGGAGAGTCCCAGAGACACAAATTACACAGCCCCCACACATGTGGAAGCAAGGACAAGGACCCTCGGCAGGGCCCCGTGAGCAAGCGGTGAGCGTGATGGCAGTGTGTGGAGGAGGGGTGGGCGCTAGGGCATCATCAGGCTGAGGTACACATTGGAGACTCCGCTCTGCTCCCGCCACTCACTTCTTGTCCTTTTCTTCTGGAAGAAAAACCCAAGAGAACACTAAGATGTAAGTGTGATGGCACACATCCAGACTTGTTCTGTCGGGCCCCTCCCACCCTCCATTTCCCTCAGGACAGCTGTGTTCTCCCACGGTATCAATCAGGGGACCCCAGTTCCCCTGAGTCTTCTGATGCAGGCCCTCATATTCAGCTGCCGCCCGGGCACACTTCCCTGATGTCCCCAGGCCTCCTTCATTCACTCCACATGTTCTGTCAGCACCCCCAGCCCACTCCAGGGCACTTTTTCCTCTCGCTTTTCAGTTAGGGAACCACTACTTAGCGTGACAAGATCCAGGAACTGGTGGCATTAACTCTTCATTCATCCCAGAGACTCAGGCTTGCTGAGTTTCCCACGTACATCTCTCCAGTTCCTCTCTTCTCCCGCTGTCCCCATGCCTCAAGTCCTCTCAGCCCTGCTCTTAGCCCCCCCTCTTCCCTCACCATCACCTCCCTGCCGCTGGCATCACACTACAAATCCAGCCTGTCATCCCTTTGATGGCTCTCCACGGGCTTCAGAATACAGTGCAAGCCCACCTCATACCCCGGACTCTCCCAGATCAGTTTCTCTAGGCTCTCCTCCCCTCGGTTTGGCCCCTGGGCTTCTGCTGGCAGCTGCTCAGCCACGCCTAGGTGCAGCCAAGAGATGGGGTGAGAGGACCACCCTCTTGCCTACCCCCTACGGATCCACAATTCTCCCCAGGACACATCCCCCATAAATCACAGGGAAGCTTATGAGTATCAGGCCTCAGTAAAACTTCCCTAAAAGGCCACAAAGCTGGCTGGGAATGTGACAGGGTCCCCTCTCTCACCCCCGCCCCATCCGGCTTTAGAAGGCCCAAGGGACTCTGCAGCCACACAGGGCAGAGCTGTCTGGGCTTGCGGCAGGCACACACCAGGCCACCTCTCAAATGTGGCTGCAGGTGCCCAGCCGGAGTCTTTCCTGTGGGCCCCATAGCCACTCCCTACAGTAGGGTACCACCCTTTCAAGGTAAGCTTCACCAGAACCATAGTCAACATCTCAGGTTAACGGTGAAGGGAGAGGTATTGCCCAGAACCAGTTGGCCATCAGCTGGGACTCAGTGTCCCCCCCTAGACCAGCTCACCACAGCTCAGCAGCCTCCCTGCTTTGCTCTTCCCATCTGTCCTCCATGGTTACTCCAGTCCCTTCCATGCTTCTACTCTTCTGTGGCTCCCACTGTCATGAGGATAATGCCCAGGGTCCTTACCGTGGCATTCAAGGCCCTTTCCATGCTCTAGCCTCACTTCTCTACCCTGCGCTCTGAGCCCCAGCCCCGCCTGAGACGCCAAACCATGCTAGCCCAGTCCTTTCCCACCAAGTTCGATCCTCCTGTTTCAAACCTCAGCTTAGGTCCTATCTATTCTAGAAATCACCTTCAACCCTTGCCCAGCAGAGACTGCTCCTTCCCAAGCCCTTCCAAGCTGCCTTATCCTGTTAGAGGCACCCTCCCTCCTCCCAGGCCAGGGATCCTCCACCATCCGCCAGTCAGTCAATGCTCAATGTAGCCTTTTCCCCATTGACTAAGAAATTTTCTCACTTCTAAGTTTTCCCAAGAAAATGTGCTGAACTCCTTAGCAGTTATGGCTGCCAGGGAAGGCTCTCAGGAAAGACAGAGAAACTGCCCGAGCTGCCAATTAGGCCTGACTTCCCAGGTGTTAGTGTGATCAAGGCTGGCCAGCGGAATTCCTGGTAGAACCCCCCCACCCCCACCCCATGCTTCAGCCAGAAATGGGGAAGCCCTGGGCTCCCAAGGGTGGACTTTTAGGTGACAGTCCTATTTTGCCTTCTTCAGCTCCCTAGGAGTGTCCACAGTGGGTGCGTCAGAAAGAACCATACTGGGGGCAAAATGCCTTTTCTAGCTCCCTGCTACCTCACCCATGGGTCCCAATAAGGCCTTGCTTTGGCTGAGCACCTACCTCCACCCTCAGGTGGTGTCTCTAAATGATCTGGTCACACTACGGACAGACCTGTGGTGGGCCAGCTTCTCCAGAGAGGAGGCCAACTTGTTTTGGCCTCTTTAATAAGATACAATGTTTTCAGTGCCTAGGAGGGCTGGCCAGTGTGAGATAGAAGTCGATTGATCACCTTGGCCCCTACGGAATGACAAGCACTTGATCTATTTATAGCCGCCCCCCCCCCCCGCCCCTCCCGCCAACTCCAGGCTCCCTCCCCTGGGGCCGGGACACATTCCTGCTTGAGATGGCCCTCAAGGACCCAGCTGTTCAGTGCAGGCCTCGGCTATGGCTGGGCCTAATCCAGACCCTCCTTAGCAGTCTGGCCACAGGGCTACCGCCTTGGCTCCAACTCCCAGGAATAGGGAGTTTCTCACCCCTGCTTTTTCCCTTTCCAAGCAGCTCTGGCAGCGAGAAGATGGCGCCTCCCTCGCCCCAGGGAGGTTAGAATCAGTCACCCTCCCCGGCTCCTCCACCAGCAGAGGCTGGCAGCTGGATGCCGTGCCCCAGCCCACCCAGCTACACACTGCCTCCACCTGTGACCCTGCCATTTGTCCTCCATTACTGGATAAAGGCAGACCCAGAGCTGTGAGCTGAGAAACAGAGAACGCCCTCTTCCACCCTCCTGTGAGGTTAACACCAAAGAGGCCAGTCCAGTGTGGTCTGCGGTCCTGGAGGTGGTCAGTGGTGCCCACCCCATGCCTGGGAGACTGGCCTGGGAATGCTGGAATTAGGACAGGCTGGGTTCAGAGAAGTCGGGAGGCCAGCACCGAGAAGGGCACACTGGGCCTGGCCATGCAGCGTTGATGGAAAGTGACGAGGGGGAGGCAGCATGGCCCTGAGCAGCGCTCCTGCCGGCTGGGCAGTGAGTCCAGGGCTCTGGCCCTTATAGCACAAGACCCTGCGGGTACCACGAGTCATAGCCACCAGAGCAGAGCCCCTTCTTGTCCCCTACTTGGTGATCCGAGACTACTTCTTTCTCTGTATGGACAGGGAGGCTGAAGCTGGCACCAGCCCCTTGCCGCCTGGGAGGAGAGGCAGGCAGGGAGGAGGTGGGTAGGGAAGCAGGCTAGAGGCAAGCAGGGTGGGAAGGGTCTGGGGCTTCCGACTCACCATCCACGTGGTGCCGGGACAGGTACTTGAGGGCCTCATCAAGCAGGATGACAGGCAGAGATATCTGGAGCACCACTACCCACTGGCGCCCACTCAGGGGGGTCACCTGGAAAATAAGCTGGGGGGTGGGGAGGTTTGGTTAAGGGAAGGACCTCTCGTGTCCCCGCGATCCACCTGCCTCACACACCGGGGCTACAGTGGACTCGTCACGAGCAAGACCAAGAGGCTCCTTGAGGTCCCACCTCCAGATCTTTGTCCACTGTTTCCTCTGCCAGAAGTGCCCTCCCCTGCCCTTACCCAAGGGCCAAACCCTGTTGGTCCTGTTGAAGTGGGGGAAGAGCACAGTGGTTCTCCTGGCCTGGCCCCAGAACATTGCCCAGAACACGAAGTCTGGTCTCCACCTCCTCTGCCCCCCAAGTCTGAGGGCTCCGGAAGTACAGGCTGTGTCCACCAAGCACCTTCAGATCTCCCCACTCCCAGTCCTTCAGGCCTTCCATAGCAAGAGGGCCCAGAGAGGCCGAGCGACCCACCCAGGGCCAGAAACGTTACAGGAAGGTTCGGACCCTGTCACAGAAGGGGACTGGAGCAGGGCAGAAACTCACGGGCAGGGGTGGCACCAGCAGGATGAAGAAATGCAGGGCCATGGACATGACCACGGCTCCCAGCAGCCAAGGGTTCAGCCAGGGTGGCATCCGCAGCAACGACTGGTTCTCCGAGACGCTGCCAAGGGTACAGAGTACTCACCTCGGGCCAGGAGGGGAACAGGCCCCACAGTGGGCACCTGCACACCCATGTGGAGGTACAGGGAGTGGCCTGAGCCTCGGCATTTTCCTAACTGGACCCGCAGGCTGGGGTGCTTCAGGGAGGCCAGTACAACTGGGAGGGATGTGTCACAGTAGTCTGCTCAGTCCCCCAGCAGCCTGTCCTTGGTGCCTGAACCTCCTTTCTCTGTCCCTCAGACCCAATCTTGGCCCCTCCATTTCTTTAGGCCCCAATCTTGGCCCTCATTGTTCCCTGGATCTAAATCCTGGCCCCACTCATGCTCAAAACCTTCTTCTGGAGTCCTCTGACCCTCAGGCCCCAGTCCTGAACCTCCTGATTCTCAGACCACAGTCGTGGACATCTCTGACCCCAGTTCTGGGCCCTGACGGACCTTCAGTGCCCACACTTAGGCCTTACCCCCATCCCTCAACCCCAGCTCCAAGCCCCTCAGGCCAGCCCACCTGTTGAGTGCATTGCACATTTCAATGGTCACCAGCACAGACAAGGCCATGGTTGTCGGGAAGCGTGACTCGAAGACCTCGCAGTCAATGTCGGCAAAGAGAGGGTTGTCCTTGGAGCACTTCAGGAAGTTCCTCTGAGGGCACCAAGGTGGGGTTGGGTGGGGTTGGGAGAACAGTGGTCAGGGGAGGGGCCAGTGTGTGGGAAAAGGGAAGCCTCATTCTATCCTCAGCCTATATCTGAGGACATAACAGAACCAGTGGGCTAAGTGCTGCTCAAGGAGGGGTACCCACCCAGGATGGGGTCAGAGGGGCTACATCGTGCCAGAGAAAGCACAGCTAGCATTAGAATGGGGAAGACAGCAGAGGGCCCTGGAATCAGAGGGAGGATGCAGGCTTTACCCTGAAGGTGTATGGGGAGCCCTGAATAGTGGGGGTACAGGAGTGGGGGTGGCAATTACCTGAGACTGCAGAATAAGTAAATGCATATGAGAACCAATCAGCCAAATTGTATGAATAGAATTCACCTTCAGCGGGTAGACAAATGCTGCATGTACCCCTAGTCACCATTAAATAAGATTCCATTCACCTCTCCCTCCATTTCTGCCACTGAAATTGACCTCTACCAGACTCGCCTTTTGCTTACCACACAGATTAATGAATTATAGGTGCAGGCTTCCTACACGGCTTCTTCAGAATTAAGAAGAAGCTCTTAGGGCTGGTTAAGGGAAGTGGCTGTTTTCTTCCTCCAGTCCCAGGGGAGAGTTTTCTTCCTGTTCATAAACTTTGCTCGCAGATTCTACTATGATAAGACACTGAGCTGAGGCCATGTGTGAGAACTTCTGGCTTGTTCTCTTCCGCATTACTGGGATGAGCGTGAATGTCCATAACTGTTAAACAGCTCCCTTCTCCAATAATATAAATTTGTTCCCTGGACTCTCTGAGCACAGAGATCTTTTAAGCTAAAGGTTTAGAAACTGGATCCACATGCTGTAAAAATAACCCTCAAAGGGAAGCCTGTAAAATGACAGGCTGTTTGAGCTCTGAGCTCCTGTCCAGTAAATACATCACTGGTTTCCCATGCTACATTAATATGGATAAGGTGACTCTCAGCCAGAAGGGGCCGCTAGAACTTTTCTTTTCTCTCACATGCAGGATAAAAAATTATAAAAGCCTATGGCTCGGCCAGATTTCTTATTTTAACAAAGAGATGGAGGGTCTTATCTCATTAAAGTTAGCAGGGGGATTTTCTCACCAAAGCAAGCTCCAGTATTTGGGACAAATGCATGGTTTTATTTGGCACTGATCATAGACCAGAAAAAATGTCATAAAGTGGGATCCCACCCAGAGAACAAGACCAAATGCCCCTGCCTGTTAAGCCACTGAGGTCAGACCCCACTTTTCTAGATCCTAATGGCCGGTGCATACATGTGCATACAAATACATACACTCCTCCCACTCAGGCACGTGCATGCCTAGATCCTTATGCATATGCAGAGGAAAAAAAACAAAAAGGATTATATCAAGAGGTTTCAATGGATAAATGCCCTGCCCAGTTTAAACCTTCTGGGTTTTACCAGTGATCCTCTGCCACACACATACATTATGTCCCAGGTCCTAGGTCACTGAGTAGAAGGTACTCAGGGCTGGAACATCTGTCTCCTAGGTTCATCGTGAGCCTTGTGGTTGGGAGGGGGCAGTGCTGTTTCTTTGGGCAAAGCCACTGTTCTGCCTCCTCCTTCCCTTTGGGTCTCTGGCTATTTCCTATTTACCTTATCCTGCAAGGCCTCCTCTGTGTTTCATTAACTTGACTAATATGTACGTGGCTCTCACTATGTGCCAGATGTTGGTCTCCGCAATTTACAAGTATTGACTCAGTTAATCATCCCTGATAGCTTTATGAGGCTGAGGCAGGTTCTTTTATTATCTATTCTGTAAATGAGGAAACTAATGGAGAAATACAGTAGCATATCCGAAGTCACACAGCTAGTGTGTGGTAGGACTAGGGTTTGGGCCCCAGGCAGCCTGGATCCAGGCTCCATGCTCTGCGCTCTCTGCCATTCTGCTGCCTTTTGACATGTTTCCTTCAGGAACCAAGGTGGGGTGGGGGGTGGCTCTAGGCAGCTCTGCTGGAATTCCAACAACTGAAGCTGACAGTTCTGCCTTATGTCTGACCTTTGACAACCTCCAAGTCTCACAGCCACCTGCATTCTCTCCCAAAGCACTTTTCACCATAAAATGTGACTGCCCACTTCCACATTCTTCCCAGTTCTTAGCAGAGACTTTGTCTGCTTGATCACTCCTAATTTGTGCCTGGCATGCAGTCGGTGCTTAATAGCCATTTCTTGACCAGATAGATAAATGAGAAATGGAATGACCTAAGGACAGTTGAGAAGGTGGTGCCAAGGGGACCAGTGACTAATTAGTAGTGGGTGTGGGGTATGTGCCTACCATGACCCCTGGCTGTCTGGCGGCATGGCTGACCAGGGAGGCAGTAGAACTGAGATGGGGATGAAGGAAAGGTATCATTGGGGGAAGGGTGATAGATCTGATTTTGGGTGCAATGGGCGTGTGGGACATCCCAGAGAGGCTATCCAGCTGGAATTTTGGGACTAGGCTCAGAAGACACATTGGGACAGTGCAATGGGTGTGTGTGTTTGAGAGGGGGCGGGTCTTGGGTGATGTGAGATTAAAGGAGGTTAATTGAGAAAGTGCTGGAAGAAGGGAGCAGCAGGATGGTGAGCGCGGCCCCGCTCTGTGCCTTGCTGTTCCCACAGGAGCTAAATGAGAAGAGGTGCCTGAGCCTTCTGTCCAGGGCTAGGGGGGCCCGGCCTTTGGGATGAGATCCTGGGTCTATGCTCTGCACTGCTGCCTGAAAGAAGAACCCATGAGCTTCAGGGCCGGTGGGTACAAGGGAAGCATCCCTGAGCTCACTGTACCTAGATGTGAACACCGAGAATGCCTGAAATCACAGAGCCTCCCCAGGGAGGATGGGGCAATGAGTCCAGTCCCTCTTTTGAGCTCTTCTATGTACAAGAAGGTAACAGAGACAGATACTCTCAAAGGAAGAAGATCCCAAGTCCCTGCAGCTCTCAGCATTACACGAGAATTCCAAACCTGGCTTCGCCAGATTCTCTGTGAAGGTTCTTTCAAGCAAAGGAGGTGGCCAGACAGGGGGACAGATTGACAGACAGAAGCTGAGAGGTCTCCTTGCATGCTGCCAGCTGTGCTGAGCTAAGGCAGTCCTGTGGCGGGAATGTACCAGCAAGGCGACTTCAAGAGGTCAGTGGATCCCTTTCTCAAGAAGAATGTTGCTATGGGGGGGCGGGGAGGTAGAGCCTGGCAGATTCTTCCCTTCATTCTTAATCTCCTTATTTAAAAAAATTTTTGGGGGGCGCCTGGGTGGCTTTGTCGGTTAAGCGTCCGACTTTCGCTTAGGTCATGATCTCTCGGTTCGTGGGTTCGAGCCCCGCGTCGGGCTCTGTGCTGACTGCCAGCTCAGAGCCTGGAGCCTGTTTCAGTCTGTGACTCCCTCTCTCTCTGACCCTCCCCTGCTCACGCTGTCTCTCTCTCTCTCTCTCCTAGAAATAAATTTAAAAAAAAAAAACATTAAAAATTTTTTTTTTAGTATTTATTTATTTTTGAAAGAGAACGAGTCAGAGCATGGGGCAGGGGGAGACAGAGAGAGAGGGAGACACAGAATCTGAAACAGGCTCCAGGCTCTGAGCTGTCAGCACAGAGCCCGACGCGGGGCTCGAACCCACAAACCGAGAGATCATGACCTGATCCGAAGTCGGACGTTTAACCAACTGAGCCACCTAGGTGCCCCTCTTAATCTCCTTATTGACCCTTCACCTGGAGTTCTACATTTAAGGGGTCATATCTCTGAACCCTCAATGTTCTGGAGGTTCTGTGATAAAGGTAAGATATTTCTGGACAGTTATGCCCCTTGGTAGCCCCCTAACCAAATGATTGGGAGAACCAGTAACCACTTCTCTGGCTCTGGGGCTGGGCTGCTATCTCTAGGTTTCCAGTGGCTTCTGAACTTGCTCCTTAGGTGGTGGATGTCCATGTATGTGTACGGGAGTAGGGAGGGACAGCCATTGGCCAACCACAGAGTTCCAGATCCCTTTCCCCTGGAGCTCCAACAACTTGGGCAGTGAGTTCTACCTCAGAAATAACCCCAACAGAGTCCCTGGCCATCCTTGCTTACCAGCTGGTAGAAGGTGACGTGAGGTCCCTCGGCATCATATAGGAACCACCAGGTGGCGGCAGCCACCGTGGCCAGGCCTACGTACACTGCAAGGAGGGCAGGAGGAAGCTGGCTATAGTGGATAGCTGTGGTTTTCTGGCATCCATTTCCCCTTCCTAAAAATCCCCTGAGTCCTGGTCAGGGAACCACCCTCTCCCTCTCTGAGCCATGTAGTTCGCAGCACCTACCCTCAGTGACGGTGGTGGGCCCTGATTGGCAATTATTATCTGCCACCCCCCTGGCCGTGGTGACTGGCTAGGAGATATGCAGGTGGCCCAATGTGGGACAAGAATGGGCCTGAGACTCTGATCATATGACTGAGGGGTAGGTCTCCCTTCTGCCGTACTGGGGGTTGTAAGAGAGTAGACGTGAGGGCTACAGCTGCAGCAGCCATCCTTCCATCCCAAGGGGCACCTGCCCGCGAATGGAGCTGAGGCAGAGCCAAAATATGCTAGTGATACTGACACCTGGATCCAGCCACACCTGAGGAATGCTCTACTATTTTCCATTAGATGAGACCACAGATCTTCCTTTGCATAAGCCAGGCTGTACTGCCTGCAGTTTGCAAGGATCCCTGATAGAAGCTCTCAAGAAGCTCCTGGAACCCCACAGAGGGCTGGGGCCCCACTCACCTCCAATAGCCAGATATCGAAAAAAGAGCCAGCCACTGATGAGGGCCTCACGAGGGTTTCGAGGCAGCTTCTCCATGATGTCCAGGTCTGGTGGGTTGAAACCCAGGGCTGTGGCAGGCAAGCCATCTGTCACCAGGTTCACCCAGAGCAGCTGCACAGGGATCAGAGCTTCTGGCAGGCCCAGAATTGCCGTGAGGAAGATGCTGGAACCAGAGTCACAGGCTCTAGTCCCCAGCAACTGGAGAGTCCAGCTCCTACTCATACTCTAGTCCGAAAGGCTCACCTACTGTCTCCACAGGAGCTTTGCTAGTTCTTATGTGTGTGCACGAGTGAGACTTGCATATCCATGGCCCTGCTTCACACTGGCCCACTCATGCCTCCTAACCTCAGCTCTGGAGCCTGGATGGTTCTGCTCTTTAGGCCCCTCATGTTTAGGCCGTAACTCCTGTCTAGGGCGTGCATACATGTGGACAACGCATGCCTGAGCACACACACGTCTGTTTACAGACAGAAGAAAAAACGGCACGGGCCACACAATCACACAAACACAAGCAAACACCTATATGCTTGCCCAGACGAGCAGAGATGGCAGAAGTCATGTGTCCAGGCAAACATGTGCTCACTATCCCCACAGGCATCTCACATGTGAACCTAAATGTGTACAACTTAGATGCTGGCATAGATCCTCCATGCTTCTGCTTAAGCCTCAAGATGCACAAGAGCACACATGCACATGGCTACACACGCCTTACACTCAGGTTTACACACTACATTTGCATACAACTGTGTACACACACTCACATGCACATGTGAACACATTACTGCCCCAAAGTTGGGTCAGTTCTCCCGTCCTGGAAACTGAATGTGGGGGTTATGGCTAGAGGGATGACAAGGACATTTTAGGCACCTCCTTGGGGGCTGGGGTGTACCAAGGCCTCTGGAGCAATGATGAGGCCCTGCCCTCCTTGAGGTGAGGTCCCAGAAGGCCACCGCCAGGGCAGGGCATGTGTCCCTCCATCCCTAGAGCTCCATCCCAGGAACAGGCATTTCCCTTAGTGACTGAGAGCTAGCCCAGAGGGCTGGGAACAGGAAATGGACGGCCTCACCAGACAACCTCGCCGACATTGGAAGAGATGAGGTAGCGGATGAATTGCTTCATGTTGTTGTAGATGGCCCGGCCCTCCTCCACTGCAGCCACAATTGAGGCAAAGTTGTCATCTGACAGCACCATCTCGGCTGCTGACTTGGCCACAGCTGTGCCAGAGCCCATGGCAATGCCAATCTCTGCTTTCTTCAGAGCCGGGGCATCATTCACGCCGTCTCCAGTCTAGGGGCCAAGGGAGGTAGGACCATGCCTGAGAAACTTCTCTTCCACCTCCTTGGTTCCCCTCAACTAAACCTATCCCCAAGCTCAGGGCATGTCCCCAAGGAAGCAGACAGATGAACAAAACAAATGGTGAGGTTGAGAACGAGCTTAGATATTGGGCTGGGGATGAGGCCGACGGGGAAGGCAAGGGTTGCAGACAAGTACAAATTTGAAAAGAAGATCAATTCTAAGGCCAGAGAAGATGGTGAGGTGGACTTGGGGATGAGAGTGGGTCACTGATGAGGGTGGAGATGAAATTCAGGTTGGATGTGGTATAAAATATGAAACTGAGGTTAGGGGCAAAGTTAAGGTTAAGTCAGGGATGAGGTCAAGGTTGTGGCCCAGGTAAAGGATCAGGTAGGTGTTACAGTTAAGGTAAAGGTTAGAACCAAGGTGAAGGTCAGGGTCAACAGTGGACTCAGGGTCAAAATTAAAAACTAGACAAAGGTAAAGGTCAAGTGAAAGTCAAAGGCCAAATCCAGGTTATAGCCCATATCAGGAGTGATGTAACAGACAAGGTTGGAGTTGCAATCAAGGTGAAGATTAGAGGCTAAATAAAGTTGAGGTCTACAGAAAGTATTGGGGGAAGTCAAGGTCAATGTCAAAGATCAGGTCAGGGTGCATGTGAAGGTCGCTGCCCATATTACGGTTGAGATCAAAGTAAAAATCAGATTTAGATGGTCAAATTCAAGGTCAGTGAGTAGGTCAACATGAAGGTCAAAAATAAAGTCAAGACCCAACTTACAATTGTAGTCAAGTCAAGATTGGTGCCCAGCTCAGTATCAAGGTCAAGACTGGATGACAAGTCAGCATTAAAGTAAAGGTAAAGAACTGGGGAATGGAGGTCAACAGAGACCAGGTCAGGGGTGAGACTGGGCTCACGAGTTAGGTGAGTGTTGATGAACAGGCCAGTAATCAAGAAGGAGACAAAACAAAATGTCCATTGAAAGGTGAATGGATAAATAAACTGAGGTTATATTCACAGTGGAATGCTACTCACGGATAAAAAAAAAAAAAAAAAAGCAATCGTCTACTGATACCCAAATCCACAAGGATAAATTTCCAAAGAAAGAAGCCTGACACAAGAGTCCGTACTGTATGATTCCACTCCTATGAAACTGTAGGACAGACAATCTGTGGTGGAAAAATGGCCTGTTGTGGGAGAGGGTCCTGACAGGGAAGGTGCATGAGGGAACTTCGTGTCTCCAAGGTAATGTTCCTTCTCCTGATAAGGTTTTGGATGACACCCAAAGGTGTGTCCGCATTTATCAAAACATATCAAATGAAGGATATGCATAAGACTTGTGCATTTCATTGCATATAAGTTTTACCTCAAAAAGGAAAAAAAATAGAACCACAAAGAAATGCTGCTCTCTAGATACAGTATGCATTCTAAGTTACATGCGGGTGAAGTGCACTGATACCTGTAGTTTACTTGGAAATTTACTAAAGAAAAGCTGGATTAAGGATGGATAGATGGATAGGTATGTGCAAAGCAAATATAACAGAATGTTCCTTGTGGAATCTAGATCATGGATTTTATAGGTATTTACTAAAAAACTAATTTCTTTTTGTGCTTGAGATTTTGTATAAAATGCTGGGAAAAAAAAAAAAAGAATGAAGCGGGGCCGATGCTGAACGCGTAGCTCTTTCCAAGCTCTATGGATGGTGACCCCTCCCCCAATTCCTCATCACCTCCACAAGGCTCTCGTCCTGTGGACTCACCATGGCAGTGATCTCATTGAAGGACTGTAGGTTCTCTACGATTCGAGACTTGTGTGCAGGTTCCACACGGGCGAAGCAGCATGCCGTGCGGCAGGCCTGGCGCTGCTGCTCGGGGCTGAGGTCATCAAATTCGCGCCCTGTGTAGGCCTTGCCCACCACATCCTCTGTGTCCTTGAAGATGCCAAGCCGGCGGCAAATGGCCACAGCTGTGCCTTTGTTGTCCCCTGTGATCATGACCACGCGGATGCCAGCCTGGTGGCAGCGTTCGATGCAAGCAGCCACCTCGGGCCTTGGAGGGTCCAGCATGCCCACGCAGCCCACAAAGGTCAGGTCCGTCTGTAGGGAGGGTGCAGATGCAAGTGGGGCCTGGGCTCATGCTCCAGCTGCTACCTCCCCAGCCCTGGCAGGGAGACACACGGCTCCTAGCCCCGGGCCCTGCCCCAGCACCTACCTCGTACTGAGCAAACTTGCTGCAGTCATCCAGCTGCATGTCCTCCTTCCTTGGGGGAGCATCCCGAGTGGCCAGTGCCAGGCAACGCAGCGTGTCTGAGCCAGAGCCCCAATCCCGGATCTTGGCCAGGATCTGCTCCCTGGAGGTGGTGTTCAGGGGTACCGTGCGGCTTCCCACTCGGACTGAGCTGCAGCGGTCGATCACACTCTCAGGAGCCCCCTGCATCATGGGATCATGGGGGAGGGGAAAGGTAACTCTGTCAGTGAGGACCCCTCCCTTCCCTCTTGCCCAACAGAGGAAGTTGAGGCTCAGAAAGGGTAAAAAGCAAAAAAAAAAAAAAAAAGAAAGAAAGGGTAAAAGGACATCCAAGGGGACACACAGCAAGGCATGGACCAGAATCCATTCTTTGAAAGCTCAGAGTGGGAACCAAATGAGCCCCACTGGGAGAAACCCAAAAGGAATGGGGGATAGTGGTTGCCCATGGGGTGGCCCCCACCCCCCACCAACCCAAAGTCGAGAAGGTCTGCTACAGCATCCAGGGGCAGGGTGGGAATAGGATTGGCAGCCTTCCTACACACCCTGCCTTCCTGCCAACATGGTGCTTCCGGGATCCCAATACTGTAGGGGTTCAGCAATGGGAGGCGGGCTGAGCCCTGCCTGGGGACCAGAGACACAGCCATGCTGAGGGGTGGTGAGCAGCCCTGGGAATGTGACAGAGGTGACAGGCTCCTCAGTAGCCTTGGGGTCTCACCTTGGGTCACACCCCGGGCCTCAGAATAGCTTCCGAGCCCTTCCTCATGCCTTCTCCCTCTCCCCAAAGGGCACTCCAAATGCTAAGTCTTTGAAGTGGCCGGAGATACCAATATAGAAACCTTTTCATTTCAAAAGGAGTTAAAACTTCCACTTCAGCGTGAAGTTAGGGCTGTGATTCCTACTTCAGGTTGAAAAGCGGTGACAGGCAGTGCTATGGGCAGAAGTCTGGATGGGGACTTCCTTCCCTAGGACTCATGAAGCATCAAAGATGGGCACCAACTACCTCAATGCCCCTCATCAGACGCGAAAGGCTTCCGAGACCTTCCAGCCTGACCCTGCCATTTGGATGGGGAGACTGAGGCCCATGGAGAGCCCGGGTGACCTCACGGTCATGTGGCGAGGCAGCGCCTCTCAGCCCCGAGCTAGGACCCATGGTGAGGGGCAGGCCTTGGTACCTGGACCTGGCTTTATCTCTACCAAGACCAGATCCTGCCCCCAGCACCCCATGGCAGGCTGAGCACCCTCAGTCTGGATTCACTGCTTTGACAGTGGGCCTCACGCCGCCCTTGGTCTCCCACAGCTGCAGTCACTGGCTCTTGAGAGAACTGGAGATCAGATATCCCAGGGACTCCACAGGTTCAGAGGCCCCAGACCAGCCAGGTAGGCCCCACCTTGACAAACATCTTGCTGCTCTGGGCTGCCAGGCCAGGTCGAGTGGGTGTGCAGTACACTGACATGGACTTCCGGTCTCGGGAGAACTCCAAAGTAAACTCCTTCCGCATCAGCTGCTTAATGACCTACGGGGCCCAGGAGGGTCAGGATGTGAGTGGCAGAGCCAGCAAGTCTCACTGCTTTCTTTCCAGCTGCTCAATCCTACGAAGAGCCTCCTGCTCCCTGTGTGACAGTGTCTATCCTCCTCTGACCCTGGCTTGGAAGCCTCCACCCTCATTTCCAGCCTGAGAAACGCCAAACGGTTGCCACTTCCTGATCATGCTGTGCGCTTCCCAACTCTGAATCCTTGCCCGCGCTCAGTCTTTTCCTCTCTTTTCTCCCTGGTCAAGTCTAGTTAGCGTCGGAAGTCCCTCCTCCTCCCAGAAGCCTCCCAAGACCTTGTCCTCCTCTCTTCCTTCTCTAGATGCCCAGAAGCCCCAGCTATGAGCCCTATGGCCAGAGCCCTCACTCTACTCACCGCATTGCAAGCACTGGCTCGTTCCACCTGGGACAGGGCCTCAAGGTTGGTGTCAAACACGTTCATTTTCTCCACCAGGCAAGTCAGGGCCGTCTCTGTGGCCTCTCCCACCTTCTCATATACACCCTTAGCCTGGTGGGGCCCAGAGTACAGGGCGTGAAGAGCAAGAAAGCCTCACCTCCCACTCACTCCCTGACCCCTAGAGCTCCCTTTGCCAGTCACCTTTAACCTCCTTTGCATCAGGCCCGTGGGCCCTTCCCAGCCCAGGTGACGTGAGGTCTGGGTGGCATCGGGCACTGACGCTTCCCTTCCCTTCTGCTCCTCCCCTGACATCAGGGAACATGTATCCTCCCTGCCATCCGCTTGACTTTCTGCATGCTCCTTCTCAGCCTCCTTCCCCAGGTTCTTCTGTATAAACCCTGCCGTCCGGCCTCTGCTTCTTCCCTCCCATCTTCTCTCCCCGAGGCCTCCTACGCTCCCTGCTCCCCCCACCTTTCATGTGCTTGACTTCCAGTGCCCAGCCTGGTGGTGATCTTTCACCTGAACAAGCTGCCGGTTGGACTTGGTTCCTTACGGACCCTCAGAGCATCTCCGCTTCTCCCTACATTTGCCACTCCAGCGACAGTCCCAGCCAGGCCACCAGCCAGGAGTTCTCCTCCCACGCTTTCACCTAACCAGTCACCAAGTCCCAGGATCTTGGGTTCGTAAATCTGTCTCCAACCTATGCCCTCTCCCATTTCCCCGAAGCCCCAGCCAGCATCTCTCTGAGCTGGAGGACCACACAAGACTTCCGGAATCCAGTCTTGCCCTATCTGTTCCATCCTTCTGATAGAAGCTGGATCTTTTGTAAATGCAAATCGGACAGTATCATTCCCCTGCTCAAAACCCTTTGGGACTCTCTACTGTCCTCAGCTTGTAATGGGACCTGACTTGGTGTGGTCAAGTCCTTCCCTCAGGCAGGAGTATCTTCCTGCACGTTCCATCCTTCTCCTCCAGCTGCACTCCAGGACACTCAATGCGTACATCACATCAGGCTGTTATGACCTGTGGGCCTTTTCTGGGCTGTGCCTTCTACTTTAAAGACCCTTCCTAGTCCTGCCTCCCAAATTTCTTCCTCTAGGCACCCTGGCACTACAGTCCCTTACATTACAGTCCCCCAGAGTCCAAGAGCCCTCAGGCACTTGGGGCACTGGTTCTAAAGCCAGTCTGAGGAAGGATTGGGAGTAGGGGTTGTGCAGGGATGGCAGTGCCCCTGGGGAGTGGCACTCCAAAGGGAAAGGCACTGCCAACCCTGGGACTTCTGAGACTCCTAGAGAAGCAGCTGTTCTGGGCACCTGGATGCTAGTGATGTCACGAAAGGGAGCTGGGGCCCACCTCATTGTAATCCAGCGCTGAGTCATTGCACAGGGCACAGATTGTCGCCAGCTCCACCAGACCATCGAACTGCCCACAGCGCACAAGCTGCTCCGCCTGCCTCCTGTGGGACTGGGTCTCAGTACCAGGACATTTGGCCCAGTCCCTGGGAGCCACGCTGCCTCTGATCCCGTCCCCAGGAAGCCCCGCCTGCTGACCACTCTCCGGATTAGCCCGGCCCCCCAGGACACCACGCCCACCAGCTCTCCCTTGCCCATCAGCCCAGCACTCACACTTCGCCCTCCGGGGCATAAGTGGTACCCGAGATGGTGAACTCGTGCAAACGGCAGGAGCTTGCTTGGGCCTCAGCTACCACGAACATCTGGGGAGTACAGAAGCATGCTCAGGCAAGCTCTTACCTCTCTTCTCCTTGGGCAGCCAGTCTGAATAAAGCCTGACACCAGGGTGAACCCAGGTTCACACCTCCCAGGGCAGCCCATTTTCTTGTCTGTTAGCCAGCTCTGCCAGGGAGAGCTCTTGCTTTCTGGCAACCGCCTTGCTGGACATTCCCAAGCCATTGGCCAGCTCAGCACCCAGTAGATGCCCAATAAACGTCCCTTCCTTTGAGCTCTCCTCCCTGCTCCTAGGGGCAGCCCTCCACCCAGCATAGCTCTTGAGAAGTCGTTTCTCAGCTTCCTGTACAGCCTCCACCACTTCCCCACAGTGTGTTTTCCAAATCTTTATTTCAGTTAAGGAACTCTCCATTCAAATGAAATCCTAATAGAGATTTTAAAGGTCAGGGGCCTCAGGATGTAACTTGCTGGTGCCCCTTCTCCTGTGGCAACCTCTGATGGGCTTCAAGGTCTCAGATACAGAGCCTGAGTTTCCCAGTGGGCAGATTACGGAGCAGAGGTGGGAGAAGGGGGATGGGAGAATCTGAGAGGGGTGGGAAACCCACAACCTTCACCATTACCCCACTCACCCCTCTGCCCTGTGGGCCTACTGGAGTCTCAGCCAGAATCCTTGGAGCATGCAGACAGCAGGCCCAGGATCTGGGACTGAGTGCCAGGAAATGAATAATTCCTGCCCTGGCCCTTCCCAGGTCACTGGAGCTGGCATATCTGATGACAGGCGCTGACCGCAGAGTCACAGTGGAGCATGAAACAACCTGGCTCATATGCCAAGGCTGTACTTGACCCTTTCCCATGTACTTTAGGGTTGTCTACCACAGCTTGCAAACCCAAACTGCAGATGAAGAAACTGAGCTTCATACATAGGCAATGACCTGCGACAGTGACACGTGTCCAGCCAGACTTTGCTGCTCTGCCCCATGAACACCTGGATCTGCTCCCCACCGTGGGGCAGCCCACAGGCTCTCTCCTCCATCCAGTGCCAAAGAGCAGTCAGGGGGCAGCCCAAAGAGGGATTCAGCCAGCTGAGCACCACCCAGCAACACCGGCGGGGCCTCCAGCTGGCTCAGCCACTCACCCGGCACACGGACATCTGATTGGTGGTGAGGGTGCCTGTCTTGTCGGAGCAGATGACCGAGGTGCAGCCCAAGGTCTCCACAGAGGGCAGGCTCCGCACAATGGCATTCTTGCGTGCCATGCGCCGTGTGCCCAGAGCCAGGCATGTAGTGATGACAGCTGGGAGGCCTTCAGGGATGGCAGCCACAGCGAGGGCCACAGCAATCTTGAAGTAGTAGACGGCACCACGGAGCCACGAGCCACCATGGGCTGGGTCAGCGAAGTGGCTGATGTTGATGACCCACACGGCCACACAGATCACAGAGATGGCACGGGACAGCTGCCGCCCAAACTCGTCCAGCTTTTGCTGCAGTGGTGTCCGCTCTGGCTCCACTGCCGCCATCTGGCTGCGGATCTTACCCAGCTCTGTGCGCAGGCCTGTGGCCACCGCCACCCCCAGTGCCTTGCCCGATGCGATGTTGGTACCCTGGCCAAGGGACAGACAAGAAGGGCTGCTTAGCACCCCGGTTAGGGCCCAGGACCCCTGACTCCTTCAGGCTGGGGCAAGGTTCTTATCCCTCTATTTGGCTTTTTTCCTCCGTGCACTTAGTGCTCCCAGACTTATGCAGCTATATAGTACCAAGATATCGCTGTCATCCTCATGACAGTGTCAGCTCTGTAAAGGCAAGGACTCGATTCAGCACCTTGTCCCCAGCGCCTAGCACGGGGAAGCACCAGGCCAATATTGACAATATCATCAACCAGCACAGCACAATACCATCCATCAAAATGCGATTCATAAAAGACCAATGTGGCCATGTAGGAGCACCAAAGCCAACTGTGATTCTGGGTAAGTAATCTGTAAGTATTTCCAGAAGAATCCAGAAAAGGAGTTTAAGTCCATCCACTCCCAGGGCGCTGGTAAAACCCTTAAGTCCTGATGTGAAGGCTAGCTAGCCTGGAGCTTCTGTGCCCTCTTTTATAAAATGGTCCAACAAAGATGCTGCTCTGAAGAGGCTAATAACCCAGTACCCCTTCAGACAGGTGCCCCGTGCTGAGGCTGGAGAAACGGTAGGTATCAGGGGCAACCTCCGTGTCTTGTCTCCCATCCTGAGCAATGCAGCAACCACTCTCCCATCCCCCAACTCCACAACTTGCAGGCCCCTGGGCTAAGGAAATGACCTACAGTTAGGCAGAGCAGGCACCTTAGAAAGCTGCTTAGGGACAGCTGCTGATGCTGGAGGCTGCCTTGCAGAGTCCCTCCCCACTTCGAAGCAGCCTGTCCAAGGCTCCCAGGCATCTAGGCAGGCGATTCTTAAGAAGAACTCTGAGTCAATATTGCATTCTCCTTTTCTGATCACTTCTGGGGATGATTTCTACCCTTATTACTTGATGCCCTGGGACATGGCCAAATGGCCTGACCTATCATGGTTTCCGTGTTCAGCCTCTGGCTATTTCTGGGCAGCCTGTAACCATCACTGGTTAAGTACCTCTGGGGCCACAGGGACATATCATTACCGCCATGGCTGAACCCGCCACTCTCGCTGAAAAGAGCCACTGGACCCTGGCATCTTGCCTTAGGGGGTCACTTTTCCCATCTGAGAGATGAACTGTTTCTGCCGTCCTCCACCACTGCGGCACCCATCTTCTCTCTAGAGGAGTCTACACTGAGTGATTATAGGCTAGCTCTGTCCCTCTACAGGCTAAGGCAGGATAAAGCCTACCAGGTAAGAGGAAAAGCTCTGGACTCAGAGTGTCTAAGTCCACAGCCCAGCTCTGCCATTCACTGGATGTGTGACCTTCAGCAGTTTACTTACCTTGTCTGTGCCTGTTTCCTTGCTGGAAACGCGAAGAACAAGAGTACTCATTTCAAAAGCAGTGTGAAGAGTGAATACACATAAGGGGCTTATAACAGTGCCAGGCACACAGCCTTCGGTAAACACGAGCTACTACTACTATAAATTTGTACATATTGTCAGTAATCGATGAGGTTCTTTTTGTAGAGCTTTAGCCAATTCATCTAAATGTTACTGTTTTTATAATCAGTGTCCAAACGAAGGCCCAAGCCATCCCAGGGACTTACAGAGAACAGCATGTTCTTCTTGTCCTGGTTCACAGCTCTGGGATCCAGGATAACGTCTGTGTGTTTGGTCACAGACACGGATTCACCTGGTTGTGGAATGAGAAATAAGAAGCCCTAGGTGAAGACACCCCCATCTGCTGAACTATCCCCTGCTCAGCTCCAGCCTCCAGCCCTTACCTGTCAAGATGGACTGGTCCACTCTCAGGGTGGTGGACTTGATCTCGATGAGGCGGAGGTCAGCGGGCACCTTGTCTCCCACTGTGGGGAGAGGGCTAGCTGAGTGTGGCCTTGGGCACCACCCCCCCAGCAAAGCCAGGAGCCCTGCCAGGAACCAAGGCTCGGGCTGAGCAGAGAGGGCCTGAGCTGTGATCCCTGAAATAGGTGCTGCTCCCTGGCCTACAATCTCCCTATCTGTCCAACAAGGTTTTGGCCAAAGAATTCCAGAAGGATCCAACAGCCACCCCGCTCTGTGTACACGCCAGAAAGATGAGGATCCAGAGAGGGATGGGCTCGCCGGCATCACATAATAAAGAGAGGCCCCCAATGTACCTGCTACCTCCACGATGTCTCCAGGGACAATGTCCCGGGCACGGACCCTCTGCACGCCCTTGCGGTCTGAGCGGATCACCTTACCCATCTCAGGCTCATACTCCTTCAGGGCCTCAATGGCACTCTCAGCGTTGCGTTCCTGCAGAACACGAGGCAGGTAGGTGGTCCATCCCCACTGGCCCTAGCTGGCTGACCCCTTGCAAGGACACCCTTGGGGCCTGGGGTAGACCTAGAAGCAGAAGGACCTGCAGGACTCTAACATGGTCACATCCAGCAGCCGGGACACCCCAGAGTCCAGCCCCCCTCTGCCTCCCACCTGCCATACGCCCACGATGGCATTGGCCACGAGGATCAGAATGATGACCAGGGGCTCCACGAAGGCTGTTGTGGTCTCCTCGCCCTCCTCAAACCAGGCCAGGACCTGCAGAGTGGGGGGTAGTGAGTTGGGGCTACACTGCGCGCCAAGGGTCTGCTCACCGTTTCCTTCACACCCTGGATCTCCTGGCTGCTCTCCTGCTTTGGGAGAGATACCCCCAGGGTGCCCTGGGCTGGGAGGGCTGCTCTGAGGCCCTCAGCTCCTGCACTCAGTGACTGCACTCCATGGCCCACAGTGCACGCAGCCAACCTTCAGGACAAGGGGTGGCTATACAGCTGCCAGCCTGCCCAGCCGTGGTTCTCCGAGCATGACGCCAGACTGACGGCGACAGCAGCATCCGGGAACTTGTTAGAAATGCAAGTCTCAGGGTCCGTCTCAGTCCTCCTGAGTCAGGAACTGTGGGGTGAGGCCCCCACAGTCTATGTGTGAACAAACCCCGGAGATGTCACTGCAGGTCACGCCTGAAGTCCACTGGCCAGAGAGGCATAATTCCAGTCAGGGCCAGGCCTGGAGGCAGAAGGCCCGGGTAAAGTCCCATTCCTGTGGCGTGGCCCGAGTGGGTAATGTCGCTCCCCTCCACGGGTCTCAGTGTGTCCGTCTGTACCGTGGAGGGGTCCCAGCCCCCTTTCGGGTAAGCTGCTGTAGGCCCCTGCAAGGATAGGGTTGTGCTATCTGTAGGAATCCTCAGGTTCCGCAGGCACGGCTGCCAGGAAGGCCACATACAGCCGCCGGGCCACTGCCATGCGCACTCCACGTTACCTACGTGGCCTCCTCCCAGGCACTGCCGGCCACAGGGCCAAGGGCTAGAATCATGTCCACTCCCAGCGGGGGAGGGGGGCATTTCCCTGCGTTACCCTTGGGTTTCTGCTGCTCAGCCAGCAGTGACAATCGCTGTCCCCCCATTCCCACAGCAGCACCCTGGACCCCTGGCCCTATGGGTCCAGGAGGGTTTCAGGCAATGAAAATGGAGGAGGAGTAAAGGGAGAAGCAGTTACAGAGAAGCTGTAAGAGGTTAAGGCCCAAAGTCTTCTATGGGGCACTGGGAACCACAGAAAGGGCTCTCCACCAGGGATAATTTGGCAACACCTGGAGACTTTTTTTTTAATGTTTTATTTATTTGAGAGACAGAGACTGCATGTGAGCACTCATGTGTGCGCATGAGGAGGGAGAGGCGGGGACGGGAGAGAAAGAATTCCAAACAGGCTCCGTGCTGTCAGCACAGAGCCCAATGTGGGTCTTGATCCCGCAAACCCATGACATCATGACTTGGAGCTGAAACCAAGAGTCAGACATTTAACCAACCGGGCCACTTAGGCACCCCTAGAGACATTTGATTGTCGCAACTGGGGAGTCCCACTGGCTTCTGGTGGGGAGAGGTCAGGGATGCTGCTAAATACTCTCCAGTGCACAGGACAGCCCCCATAACAAAGAATTATCTGGTTCAATATGTCGTTAGTGCAGAGGCTGAGAAACCTTGCTGCAAAACAGGGAGACCTCTGCTTCTGAAAGCTCACTCGGACCACCAGAGTGGAAGGGGACAAATGGGAGGCAGGAGTCCAGTGTTTGGGGGACTGGGAGGGAGGCAGGCATTGAGGGAAGCTGAAGTGTGATCAAGGCCAGAGGAGTGTAGGGGTCCAGGGATGGCCATAGCTGAGAGGACAGACCTGTGATTCAGAGCCTGGGCCTCTGAGCACTGCCCCAACCTGGCTTTCCCTTCCGGGTAGACTGATGCTGTGGGATGGGGGCCTTACTTACGAAGGAGACCAGGGCAGCCAACAGCAGGATGCGCACCAGCAGGTCTTCAAACTGCTCCAGCACCAGCTCCCACAGGGACTTCCCTGAGAACCGGAGCACTATGTGAAGCCTGGGTCCCTTACCCAGTGACTCGCCCCCATTCAGAGCTGAGACCGCCTCAGAAACCATCTGGCCCACTCCCTCCCTACCATTCAAAGGCTGAGAGCCTGAGGCCCTAGAGGCATAGGTGGGTGATACTGGGGTGCTCAGCACAGTATCTCTCTGTTGGGGAGAGGGAAGGACACAACCTGACAGTGAATGGCCCAAGGACATCACCTGGTGGCCTCTCAGGCCACCCTGGCCCCAGCCTTACCTTCCTCAGTTGGGAGCTCTGTAGGATCCAGGCAGTCACAGGAGCGGGGAGGAGATAAGAGACAATTCGGTTATGCAGTGCGGCTATGGAGGAGTCTCGGCAATCCCTCCCCACTCTGCCTGCCCAGACCACCATGATGGTTGAGCCATGCCCTCACAGCTCTCTGAGGTCACAGAGTGGATGATCTGAGTGCAGAGGCTTCCATTCCTCCCCTCGCTTCACCCTACTCTGGTTGAGGAAGATCTGCTATGGCATGGCCCACGCTGGGACAAGATCAGAGCCAGGAGGGCCCTTCTAGACCCTCCTCTGCTGCACAGAGAAACCAAACAAACTGTTGAAGAGAAGGGACCCCCAATGTCACCAGCTCCCCTGCACTGCTCCTTCTCAGATGGATGCCCGATCCCATTCAGTGTCCCCCTCGCCAATGGCAAGGTAGCCCCTCCCTCAAATGTAAATGAATAAAATTAAGTAAAATTTAAAATTTTACTTGATTTTAGCTCAGGCTACTTCTGACCCACCCGCTCCTCCGGGAGCACTGGCATGATATCTACAGCACAGCCAGCCTGCTTGGTCCCACTCTACAGGGGGTTCCCTTGGACACAATCTCAGCAGCCAGCACCCCAGGCAGTGCATAACCCTGAGTCGTCCCTTGTTCCCTCCCAAATCCACGACTCTGGGCAAGCTCCATGAAGAAAGGACTCGGAGGCTCCACCCTAGGCTGGCTGTCTCTTCCTCTTCCTCCTTTGTGGCCCAGGTCCTTGTCGCTGTCCACCTGTTTTGAGTGCAAACCTTTCCCCGTGGGAGCCCTCGCCTCAGCCCACCTGGTCCGAGGATCCGGGCGGGGCACCTGGACGTTGAACTATGGAGAGTATCCAGCAGCCCACTGGGCTGCAGAAATCCAGGAGGAAAACATATAACCTAAAAATATATTTTCTAGCATTTTCTCCCTAGTCCTATTTTAGGCAACGGCTGACATTTTCCGTGGAAAATGTAATCTCCAGTGTCCTGCGTCGAGATTAAAATCAAACAGACTTTTTCCTTCTGATCTATTTAGCTGAAGCGAACAGGAAAGGCAGGGGGAGGGCCAGGCCTGGTTTTTTGGGCCAATTCTCCAATCCAGCAGGGTCCTTCAGAGGTCGTCTCTGCCATGGCCCAGCCTCAGCACAGAACATTTCCAACCTCATGGCACACATCAGCCTGCTTCTGCTGTGCCCTCAGGAGACTCCCAAACCCCTCCCTCTGTCAGGCATGTAGCCCTGAGGCCACCATTGTTTCTGGGCAGGGTCAAGGCATGGGGTTGGGAGGCATGTCATGGGGCACACGTACCAGCTCGAGTTCCCCCTAAGCTGCCCTCTCCCTGCCTCAGTCGTCTGTCAAGTCCTCCTGTTCTGCTCTGTGACCCAACATCCGACTAGGGATCCACTCTTTGGTGGTCATTTGTTCCCCAAACACTTCTGATTCTCTCCCACCTAGTTAGCACATAGTATGACCGCACTTCCTGGCCCTTGTGCAACTTACAGAAAGAAGGCTGCATGTTAGTTCTGAGCAGGAGCATTAAACTGGTGGCAGGAGACTCTAGATTTAGAACGCCACTGTCTAGTGGAACTTTCTGTGATGACGGAAGTGTCCTCTAGCCGCACTGTCCCATACATTAGCCACTAACCACAGGTAGCTCTTGATCACTGGGAATGTGGCTAGTGTGACTGAGTAGCTGAATTTTAAATTTTACATAATTTTCATTCATTTAAATTTAAATAGCCAAACAAGGCGAGTGGCTATAGCAGTGGACCGTGAAGATCCAAAGCTCCTTGTCCCTCTGCTAGCAGCAACCTGTGAGATGGCGTCTGCTCTGGGAGTCAGGATCACAGAGTACAGGACACACAAAGCCCCCAGATAACCTGTCACTGACATACAGATGTACAGCGTGAGCAAGAAATGACCTGTAGTGTTTTAAGCCACTGAGATATGGGGTTTGTTACTGCAGCATAACCTAGCCCATCCCGACAAACACCCCCTTCTCCCCAGACCTGGCCTCTCCCACAAGGTTCCCCTTCTAACCTACCCACTGCCCTTGGGGGAGGCTCAGCCAGCCATGAGGTCACAGAATGCCCTGCCCATCCCCCCACATGCAATGCCCATGCTTCTAGTCTTGCCTGAGCAGCTGCCTCCCTGTGGGATCCTCAACCTCTTTGGAAGATGGGGTACCCACTCCCACCTTGAAGGGCTGCTGGGAGGATCATTGTCATTATTAACATTAATAAGAGCCACGTTTGCTGAGCACCTACTATGTACCAAGCAGTGTGCCAAGTACTTTACCTACAGTATCTCCAGAGGTGAATGGGGTGGGTACCACATGCCGAGCATACAAGAAGGTATCCACAGACTGAATAATTATAGCAGAATTGTTAGTGCTGGGTGTGCCACATGCCATGCATCCCCTTGGGCATTAACACTCTTGTGATTTTCAAACAACCCGAGAAGGAAGATACAATTATCATTCCCATTTTACAGAATAGATAACTGAAGCACAGAGGGGTTGAATGACTACTATATGGTCATAGAGCTGCGAAGTGGCAGCTTTAAACTTAGGTAGTCCAGGGGCACCTGGGTGGCTCAGTCCGGTAAACATCCATCTTCGGTTCTGGTCATGATCTCACCGTTTGTGAGTTCGATCCCCACGTCAGGCTCTGTGCTGACAGCTCAGAGCCTGGAGCCTGCTTTGGATTCTGTCTCCCTCTCTCTTTCTGCCCCTCCCCTGCTCACACACCCTCTCTCTCTCAAAAATAAAAAACCAAAAAAATTTTAACCTCAGGTAGTCTGGCTCTCGACCCCCTGCTCGGCACATCCTGCACTAACTCCTAAGTAGCTCTGCCTTCCCACCCCTGTAGCGCTGCCTTCCCTCGCCAAAGTCACCTGAGAAAACTTGGCGTCCTGTGTCCTGATTGTTAGGCTGGATACCCTCATTCCATCGACTAGCTCACCCCTCCGTTGTGAATCGTTCCCTGCCCACAAAGGCTCCGCTCACCTCACAAAGGTGGTGTTTGGTGGGTTACTAGACTCTGCCTGCTCAGGCCTGGTCTGCTTTAAACTCCTTTCCTGCCAAGACTGCAGACAAGCCTCGGGTTGTCCCTTCATATGACCAGGTCCCAGGAACATGGAGGGAACCCAGGGCTGGGAAAGCGCTGTCCCAGCCTCCCCCCAGGCATCCCTGGAAGATGCTGGTTCCCCCTTGCTATCCTCAGGCTACATGTGGAAGGGTGGTGGGCTGATTCCTCAACAGAGTCAGGTGCCGTATTTGTTAAATGGGGAGAATGCCTCAGCCCTGCCCACCTCTTGGTGCCATTCAGCCTGCTGCAGAGCCAGAGACAGTAACAGGAAGTGCTATTCCCTCCCACATTGCAGCCAGGCCAGCCCGGTGGCACGCAATCCCCCACTATTCTTCCGAAATAGTGTACCTCTGGACCTTCACATGGTGAACTCTCCCAGCAAACCCCTTCCATGGGTCTTTACTGTCAGTGAGCTGGCCCCTGCCCCTAGATGCCCAATGCAGGGCTGGCCTGAAGGGGTCTGGAAGTTAGCCTGTGGGTCCTGGGGGGCTGGGGGGGGGGTACAGAAAGGAGTATATGATCAGAGAAGCTTCATGGCTTGGAGCAAGGAGCCTGGTCCCAAGGACAAAGTTCAAGTCTTGCTCTGTCTCTTAATAGTTCTTTGGCTATGGACGAGTCAATTAACCATCTCTGTGCCTCAGTTCCCCATCTGCAAAATGGGGATAATAATACTAACTAACTACTACTTAAGTCACTGTGAAGATTAAATAAATGCACAGCACATGGTAAATGCTTGATAAATATTAGCTATAATATTAGTTATTAAAATGTAAGCTCCATGCCAGTAGCACTTTATCAAGTACATGGTCTTTTTTTTTCTTTTTAATGTTTTATTTACGAGAGAGAGAGAGAGAGAGAGAGAGAGAGACAGTGTGAGCAGGGGAGGGTCAAAGAGAGAGGGAGACACAGAATCTGAAGCAGGTTCCAGGCTCCGAGCCGGCAGTCAGCACAGAGCCCGAAGTGAGTGGGGCTCGAACCCACGAACAGGAAGATCATGACCTGAGCCGAAGTCGGACATTTAATTGACTGAGCCACCCAGGAGCCCCCAAGTACACTGTCTTTAGCACCTCATGCAGTGCCTGGCACATAGTAGGTGCTCAATAAAGATTTGGAAATGAGTGAATGACCCTGCCTCTGCCCTGTTCACAGACCAACAGTGGCTCTCCATAGCCTGTGGAATAAAGACCAACCTTAGCATGGCCTTCAGGGCCTTCCTGGATCTGCCCCAACCTGACCTGCCAGAATCCTCCTATACCCTGGACATCTGCCAGCTAAGTGAGATGCCTTAGAATTGCCAATACCTTCCCTGGTTTTGCTAAAGCTTTTCCTCTCCAAGGTTTTGCTTGGGCCATGCCTTCTGTGCAGAGTACCTTTCCTCAGCTCCTCAACTGAACCCCAGCCTTTCAGGAAGCCTTCCTGGAAAAGCCCTTCTACCCATCCCTCCGCTCTTCTCTTACCAGTCATCAGTATTGCGGCTACCCGCCCCTGACGGGAGCCCTTCCAGGGCGGGGAGGGAATGAGTCAACCCTGGGTCCATAAAGAGCCTCACAGAATTGTTTACTCAGTTGCCCCATTGTTCATGTCAAGACCCTGGGCCCACAGCCTGGAGCCCAGGAGAAGTGGGGTACAGAGCCAAGGCTACCCCAGGCTGCATGCATCACCCACTCCCCTGATCTTCCTTCTCGACTTTTTCTCATCTCAAAACTGGAAACTGGTACTTCAGCTTCTAAATGGTTCACTCCAGCCTGGAGAGGCCAGAGCTCACCAAGGTCTTCCTCAAAAGTAAGTTTACAGAGCAATTAAGCTATCACTTGCAGAATCAGGGAGAGGCCCTCACTGGGCAGACCGTACTGGCTCACCTGGCCCCGTCCGGGTCTCTAGGACCTATGTAGAAGGGGCTCTGCTCTCCAGGGGACCTTGGAAAACAGCTCCCTCAGGGCAGAGGCTTACAGACTACCTGGCTGATCTGGCAGGAGAAACCCCTGGCAAAGGGTTTGCTAACATCTGTGTGCCAGCTGTGCTGTGGACAGACTTGGTCCTGCCTCAGGGAGCTCCTGGTGTGAGGGGATGCTGTTCTGGGGGGGGGGGGGGGGGGGGGGGGGGGGGCAAGGCTGCCCAGGATGGCCATCTAGGGTGGAACCTAACAGATCTGGAACTTCCCATGCCTGAGGCAAACCACACTTTCCTCAGATCCAAGAATCANAGGGTTTGCTAACATCTGTGTGCCAGCTGTGCTGTGGACAGACTTGGTCCTGCCGGGGGGGGGGGGGGGGGGGGGGGGGGGGGGGGGGGGGGGGGGGGGGGGGGGGGGGGGGAGTGCCAAGGCTGCCCAGGATGGCCATCTAGGGTGGAACCTAACAGATCTGGAACTTCCCATGCCTGAGGCAAACCACACTTTCCTCAGATCCAAGAATCATTTCACACCCTGCAAGGCCTTCAGGGGAGCTCAGGATCTCATTTCTGTCCTGAGGAGGGCACTGAGGCCCAGGAAGGACAAGTCCTCCAGCAAGGTGGACCGCTCAGACCTCACCCCCTCCTCCTTCCCAGCCCCACTCCCCCTGGACAAGTTTCCTAGGGCTACGCATAGGGGTTTCCTGAGTTCCAGCAGCCAACCTGGACCACGACTGAAGGCAGGAGATAAGGCCACAGCCCAGACACAACTGGCAGTTATCTAAATCCAGCCACCCCTCCCACCTGCAGCTCTGGGGCTGTTGTACCCACGGCACAGATGGAAGGCTCCAGTTCCTGTCGGAGCCCTTTCCCCAGCTCCTCTGAACAGGAACCACCCCAGACTTTCTGGGATCTTGCCCGACTCCTACACCCCTGGGCTCCCCGGGGCCCTCAGGTCTTGGCCCACATGGTATGACACGCCCAACACGGTCTTGCCTCTTGTGTTGGCTCATGTCCAGCAAAGGTGACTGGCAGCCCGTTCACGGACACAAGAAAATCAAATGCCTCCCAAATACATGGAAAAATGCCCAACATGACCGGTAAACAGAGAAATGCAAACCAAAACTGTGAGAGGACACTTTTCCATCAGATTAGCACAGATCAAACTGTCTGGTAATGCACAGCAATGATGCAGGGGTGAGGAAACCGGCAGGCCAATGGGTGCAACTTTAGAGAGAACAATTTAGCAACAGCTGTCAAAATGTAAAATATACATGCCGTTTGACCCAGCCACTCCGCTTCTAGGAATTTATCTTTTAGCAATATTAAGTGCGTGAAGTGATGTCGGGACAAGAATATGCCTTGTACCGTGTGCTGGGAGAGGCTACGAGCAATCCAAGAGCCCTCCAGAAGCCTAGTGAAGAAATACCGGACCAGTCACATGAAACCCTGCATAGCTACCAGAAGCCCGAGGATGCTCCCCGAGGCACCATCTCCAAGAGTGATGATCACACAGGAAGCAGGGACACAACAGCCCTCACAATCCACTCCCTTTCATATAACAAAAGATCATAGATCACAGACCCAAATGAGTATGTACACAGCATACCTTGGGAAGGAGACACAAGACACGGAATAGTGTGCAATTGGGGACAGGTCTGGGGAAACTTTCCTGTATACCTTTTGTAACCTTAGAATGTTGTACTGAGTGCACATTTTTATTCCAAAAATAAACTGAAAGGATGCAGAAAGCCTCCCCCCCGCTCTCCACCAAGGCTAAGAAGCCCTGGGCACCTCTGGGACCTGCTGGGAAGGGCACGCTCACGAGGGGCGCTGGGCCAGGGGCCTCCTGCTCACTGCCCTGTTGGCATTTCAGATGACACATATATTCACTGGGGTTGGGAGAGGCGTGTTCTGTGTGTATGGGGCATTCTCAGCCGGCATACTCGCATACTCGCTGCCAGCACTGCCGAGGCCCAATCCCCCAGCTCTGAGGAGGGAGGAGGAAGAGAAGGGAGGAGGACAGGATCCCCAGCCTCTGCTTCCCAGCCTCCTGTCCTCCCTCCACCAGCAGAATTTGCAAACTTCAGGACGTAAGCAAATGACTTCCTTGTGGTTTCCAGCACTAACGACCTTGCAGGTGCACAGACTCCTGGGGTGGGGAGGACACTTGTCCCCAGGGTGTTTCCCTCCATCTGTAGGTGTGGCCCACCCCACCACCCAGCTGACCTGGATCCTGGCCAGACTCTTCGACTACCAGGAGGGATGGCTTGGTGGACACAAACACTTGCAAGCAACTCTATGACACGGATCCTATTGTAGCCTCACTTATGAAGAAACCAAGGCACAGAGAGGAAAAGTAGCTTATCCAGGATTACACAGCTATAAAGGGACAGGGCTAAGGTTCAAAACTCTGTCAGCCCAGCCCCAGAAACGGGTAGATACCACTCCAGGTCACCCAAGAGGGAAAGACCTCCCAGGTTCCCACAGCAACCGCAGGACACGGCTGCCTCCTCAGCTGGGGCTGCTGGAGAGAGCGATGCAGGGAGGGGCAGCCGGCTCCCCTCTCCTAACCTGAGGACTTGCAGAGCCCTGGAATGCTTCCTGAGGAGGAAGCCAATCAGTGCTCTGAGGGATCTCTAGGGCCCTGGGAGGGCTGGGGGCAGGGCTGGGATGGCTCCTGCCTAACTGACCCACCTCCTAGCACAGCCACCACCACGGGCCAAAGCCTGTAGAACCAGTGACTCCCTCATACAGACAGGAAAAGCAAGGCCAGAGAGGGACAGGTACCCAGGACCAGCTCCACTACGTATTATGTGACCTTGGGCAAGCTGTCTAACTTCGTGGTGACTCAGTTACCTCCTGTGTAAAATGGGAATGACAACAGCTCTTTTCACAGGATTGTGTTGGGGAAGATATAAGAAATGAAAAGTGCTAAAAACAGTGTCTGGCAAGTAGTAAGTGCTCAGTGAACGTTAACTTTTATTATTACTACCATCAAAGCACAACAGAACCAGGGACCCCATCAGTGCCCCCCAACTTTTCCTACTTACCACCCCCCAAATGCACATCCACCTCTTTGTGGGCCTACACACCAAACCAACATCCTTATCCATCACTTCACACAGAGGCTCAGTGGCCTAGTCACCCCAAAACCCCTCGCTAGACAAAACAATATGGGGAAGAACTAAGGCTCCCTCCTTCTCAGGCAGCCTCTCCCCTCCCGGATCAATGAACAGACAGAAGCAGAAAGATGAGGGAAGTAAGCTCGGGTCACACAGGGCTTCTGGAGGCGGCACCAGGGGCTGGGTCTCCAGTCTTCCTTGGGAATCAGGACTCCCAAGTTGGAGGCCACAGTGGCACAAAAGAGGCCGTGGAACCCCAAGCCTGCTGCCCTGACCCCCATCCCCACCCCTACCCCAGGGTCGGGGGAAAGGTCCTCCTGCCCTGTCCTCTTGCAGCAATGACACCCTCCCTGCCAAGTCACTAATGGAGGATATTAAATAATATTTATCTCCCTAGTTCCTCCCACAGCTCAACTAAATATAGCAACTAATTTTTTTGGAAAAGGATTTCTGCTCCAGAAAGATAATATTTATATAAGAGGTGGTTTTCATAAGCGAATACAAAACCCAAAGTTCCCTTTCTGACAGCTCTTTGTAATTTTCAGGCCATCTCTGAGCAGTGAGACACTCCTGCCAGAGCACCTTCCCCTCTGGCTGGCGGGGATCCCTGAAAGGGTGAGGCCCTAAGCCCCAAAACAAAGTGGGTCCAGGCTGCACTTGGGGGCTGGGGGGTACATTTCCTTCTGGATCCCTAACATTGTGCACAGTACCCTGGGGGTGAGTGAAGAGGGCGGCAAGTCCTGACTGGAAGTGACTTGGGGAGGGGACCCCTACATCTTCCACCTGTGTGCCTGGGGCCACATCTGGATAGCACCTGGTATCTGTGCCTTTTGACAGACAGAGAATCCCAATCTCCTTGAAGTTAGGAAGAAATGATACCACTTCCACCCAAACAGCAAGAGCATGAAGGCTCCCTCCCTGCCAGCGGCGGTCAGGCACCACTCCCGGTCACGGTCACGCAAGAGGGAAAGGCCCACCCTGGCAACTCCCTGAGCAGCGCCTTGAATCTGCCACCCCCAGGGAGGTGGGTCTCCCGCCTCTGCAGTTCAAAGCCCCCACCGACTCCCTCCCGCCAGCCACATCCGCCTTGGTTGCAGAAAGAGGAAGACCTGTGGGTGGGGGTGGGGGCGCCGAGGCTGCCAGCTGACAAGCTGCACCTTCTGGGTGTTTATTGAGCCCTCAGGGGAGACCCTCTGGGCCACCTGGGAGGCTGGGTCTTAGAGTCCCCGGTTGGATCCTCTGCAGCTGAGGCCGGCGAATGCATTTCCACAATGCGGGCAGGTTGCAGTGAGGGACCAGGCAGATTGCAGTGCGGCACCGGAATCCAGCACTGACCGCGGATGGGGGTGGATTAAAGCTCGCAGGAGTGGATGGGGTCGAGAGTGGATGTGGGACGCCTGTAAGGACCCGACAGATCCCTGGCACTGGAGGAAGGGGAGGCAGAGGTCAGGTCTCAAAACCCGGAACCCGCCCCCCACCCCCATGCGAAGGTGGCCGCGCAGCCCGTCCGAGTGCCCCAAGAGCATCTGCAGAAGTTTCTGGAGCCCTCGCTTCCGGCCCGCCTGCGAGGGTTGGAACCGGAGAGGACCGCTCCCCGTTGCGGCACAGGGGAGTAAACTGAGACTGGCGCGTGAAGTCCCCGCTTCCCTAGCCAGGCCGGCGCTCTCACCGTTGGGGCCGTAGCGCTCCCGCGCGCTAGTCACCTGCTCCGGCCTCAGGCCGCCCTCGACCGTCACCGAGAAGCGACGCAACACGTCGGCGGCCGAGAACAGGTGCGCCGCCTCCATGCCGCCCGCCTGGTTTTCTGCGCGGTCTGCCCCGTCGAGTCCTCCTCTCTACGGGACTACTGCGCTGTGCGCCGGGAGCTCCCGCCCAGGCGAGCGGCGCGCGAGGTCATGTCCGCGCTGGGACCTTCCCCGACGGCAGTGGCTGCGGCGGCGGCGGAGGCCAGCGCCAGGATGCAGCGCCCCGGGCTCCCTCCCCGGGGCGGGGCTGCGTGGAGCCCGCCCCCGCACTCACACCCCTTCCGGCAGCCCTAGGAGCCCTACGCCTCCCCGCCCCGCCCCCGCAGCGCCCCGGGGCGCGGAGGCTGGGCCGCCCGCCCATTCTGCGGAAGGGGGAACTGAGGCCTCCGAATGGGAGCGCGCCTAGCTTGTCCGGGAGGGGCAGCAGCCCCTGTCCTCAGGGCTCTCGGCGCCATCGAGGTTGCGGAGCACGATTCTCAGAGCTGCCCTCTTTTGAGCCTTCCTGGGCCCTGGGGGGTTGCAAAATGGAAGTGTCCATAGAATGGCTTCCTATCCCCGAACTTGAATTATGCAAAGGATGACCCTGGGTCTAGAGAGAACCCAAAAGCCTGTGAATAAGCGCAACTGCTACGGAGGAGACTACTTCTTCTTTTGATGTCTGTGCTTTCTTTTATCTCTTCCAAATGTTCAGCGATGCACGGTCATTCCTCGTACAACCGGACCTCTAACAATGAACCAGTATATGAGAAAGAAAACCAGTCTCGTTACCTTAGACTCACACCCTCACCCCAGCAGGAAATGTAACTGTCGAGGTAGGGGTGGGGCTCCCTAAAGGCCTGAGGGGCTGGGGTGGAGGCCTCTGGCCAGGGCCCCCAGAGAGAGTGACCCTGAGTCAGGGATGGGGAGGGACCTAGGAACCCCCACTCCAGCACCCCCTGAGTTCCAGCCTCTCTAGGGGTGCCAAGAGAAGGAGTTTCAGGTCAGGGAAGCGAGCTGTGGGAAGCCAGAAACCACTCACCCCACCAAGAGGAAGAGCAGAGAGCAGTCTACTCCAGGCAGCCGGTTCAGCTTAAGAGCCATACAGTCTCATCCATCTGCCATCTTACATCCCACCCCCCAACTCCCACCCAGGCTGGCCTCTGCTATCTTCAGCCCCTGGGATCCACCTTGGCTGTACAAGGTCATAGCTTCCAGCTTGAGCCCACCCAGCCAGCTGTTCAAACCCTAAACCCTATAGTGAGTGCCTGTGCAGCCAGAAAGCCTGCCCAGATACTGCAACTGCACCCACAAGGCCAAGCGTTCAGACTGGCCGTGGTTGCTGACCCCTACCCAGACCGTGTGCACCCCCTGGCTCCTGATCTCTCCCCGCCAGGATAGAACTGTGGTCCTCTGTCTGATCTTCACTATGCCTCCTTGAGCATACACACACACAGAGTGAGTGTATGCTTTATCTGCACTTGGACAAACAGCTAGTGGCCAAAGTGACGTGGTCACAGGCATGCTGTCCAAAGGGCAGGTCTGTCCTCCTCACCTCCCAGCTGCCATGTACTGAGAACTTCAGTCCTGGCATCTGGTCCCAGCTTTCTAACTCTTGCAAGATAGATGATTGGCAGAACTTACCACCTCTCTGGCAGCAGACACGCCTACCTCACTTCACCTGAGGGGACCAGGGTGCAGCATGGGAGAAAGGTAAGTCTGCCTTAGAAGGACTTAGACACATGAAGAAATGGGTGTTGCAGTCAGGGGAAGAAAAAGAACAGCCAGCATTGAAGGTGGGACACCTCAGTTCCAGGGGCAGTAATTCAATCGCTCAGGATGGCCGGATCATAAGGAGCATGAGTATCAGGATCAGGAAGGTAGGTCAGAGAGACAGAGCTATGACACTGAGAACCTTGATTGTCCATATAATGGCTTGGATTTTGTACTGAAGGCTTTTTAAGAATTAAGAGAAGGAGGGGCGCCTGGGTGGCTTAGTCGGTTAAGCGTCAGACTTTCGCTTAGGTCATGATCTCGCGGTTCATGGGTTCGAGCCCTGCGTCGGGCTCTGTGCTGACTGCCAGCTCAGAGCCTGGAGCCTATTTCAGAATCTGTGTCTCCCTCTCTCTCTGACCCTCCCCTGCTCACGCTGTCTCTCTCTCTCTCTCTCCTAGAAATAAATAAATAAATAAATAAATAAAAGACAAATGGGATTGTATCAAACTTAAAAACTTTAAAAAAAAAAAAAGAATTAAGAGAAGGAGCTTTTGAAGGGAAGAGCAGAGGCTGAAGGGATCCTGCAATCTGCCCGACAAAAAGTGAGGCAGTATAAATAAACCAAGACAGACAGGGCTGTGATGGACTGGACCTAGTAATGGATTAGATTCAGTGATGAGAGATAGTGAGGAGTCCTACCCAAGTTTCTGGCTTTAGTAGCCGGGTGGCAGAGAGGTTCAGCCTTGAGCTAAGGGAGCAGTAGATTGGTGTGGGGAGAGGAACCAAGGGGTATATTTGGCGCCAGAGGGGTCTGGGAGAGTCCAGGTGGGGGGTGTCTTAACGCAGCTGTGGTTTGGGGCTGAAGAGGGACACCTGGGAGGCAGCTTGAGCCGCTCATGTAATCCTCCTCCCCAGCACAGTGTCCAGGGGAGGGCTCTGACCCAGGAATCCCTCAGCCACAGGCAGGTGAGCTGAGCCAATCAAAGTCTTTCTTGACAGTTTAAGCGTTGAGCCAGAGGTTCTATCCAGAGAGCCGTAGGGGCTTGGACTCCAGCTAGAGGGCCAGAATTAACATCAGGTGAAGGACAGCAGTGGGAGAGCAGAGGGAAAACCAAATTTACACAAAGCAAGATACTGAGACAAGATACCATGTGGTGTCAGAGGGAGAGAGAGGCAGAGATGGAGACTGCCTAATGGCATCCAAGTTCCTCAGAGCCTCTATTGTACTTCTGCCCTTGGCTTCCCGAGATCCCACAGGCACAATTCCGTGCACTTTTCACAGACCTGCCTGTATTTGTCACAGTTTGAGCAGGTTTTTGTCCTTTGCAGCCAAAGGACTATGGCTATGTGACTAGAGTCAGATATGTAACTAGAGTCAGATAGACCCAGCTTTGAATCTGGGCTCTGCTTCTTGAAGGCTGTGTGACCTAGCGCAAGGCACTTCACCCCCCTTGAATCTCACCTTGTTCATCTGTAATTATTAGGATAAGCTAACTACTGTAACAAGGTCACTCCAAAATGTGTAGACTTAAGCATCAATGAAGTGTGTTTCTTGGTCATGTTAAGTCTGAAGCAGGTGTTCTGCATGGTGGGGTGGTGCTCCTAAGGCCCAGGCTCTTGCTGCTCGGTGGTTCTGCCATCTCCAATGTGGTTCCAAAGTTACCACACCCATGTGCATCCAGCCAGCAAAAGGAGAAAGAGCAAGGGGAGTGGTGATCAGTGTATGGGACAGCCCAAGATGTGAGGACATCATTTTCTCTCAAGTTCCAATGATCAGAATTCAGTCACATGGCCACATCTAACTACAGGCGGAGCTGGGAAATGTAGTCTAGCTGTGCTTAGAAAGAAGGGGGGGTGGGCTGGGTGGCTCAGTTGATTAAGTGTCTGCTCTTGATTTCCTCTCAGGTCATGATCCCAGGGTCGTAGGATGGAGCCCCGCATCGGGCGTGCGCTGGGCATAGAGGCTGCTATGATTCTCTCTTCCTCTGCTCCTCTCCCCAACTCGCGTGTGCTCTGTGTCTCAAAAATAAATATATACATTTAAGAAAGAAGAGGAAATTAGACTGGTGAATAGGTAGTCTTAGCCATATAAGGAGATAATAATGACCCACCTCCAGGATTGACAAAACCCAGCATCCATCCTCCTTGCTTGGTTTTCTTTATGAGAATCTTCCCTGCTCCTCCCTCATTCCTTGTGGTCCCCTTAGAACTGATCCATTGCCTAGATCTAGGGGTGGCCTTTGAGTCTGTTCTAACCAAGGAGGGACCTAAAACTTCCTGGCCATAGAGACTGATTGGTTCAGGACAAGCATGTGACCAGAAGTCAACAAACCAGAGCCATTGACTTGGATTTTTATTAGAAAATTAGGGAAAATATTGTTATTCTGTCCCTAAAGTGGTGGTGAACCTGGTGCAGTGTCAGTTTGGTGCTGCTGAAAGCCATATTGCCACCATGAGAGTAAAATTTTCCTGCCAATGAAGTTACCACAAAGAGAAGTAGAGAGATGGAGAAAGGCAAATTTCTGATGACATCTACCAGCAATCAGTCCACCCCTAGCTTTTTTTCAGTTGTGTGGGTCAGTAAATTCCTTTCTTAGTAAGGGTTTCTGCCATTTGGAAATGGCCTTAAAGAGCTGCTGTGGGAAGTAACTGATGGATGTTGGTAGAGTGTGGTGTCCAGAAGTAGTATATGTTCAACAAATGGTCCCTAGCATTACTCTTAACATTATAGGAGTGAGATAGGGACTTGCAGGGGAGATTGAGAAGGAGCAGCCAGAAAGGAGGGTGAAAACCATGGGACAACAGAGGAAGGCTTCCCAGATGCCCCTCCTCTGGGCCTTGTCCTCGAGCCTCATTGGCTGGCATGAGGGCCATGCCCCAGCACTCTGCTTTGCCTCTTGCCTGTCACCTGAGGTGAGGGATCACCATGTGCCAGGCCCTGTACTAAGTTCTTTTCCCATATTATCTCATTTAATCCTCACAACAATACTGGGATAAATACTACACAAGCATTCCCAGCTACATGGGCATATAAACTGTGTGATCAAATAGGGTCTGGTGCTTGGTTAATGCTCTGCTATCATTGTCTTGAAATTCTTCATAATTTTATCTCTGGGGCGCCTGGATGGCTTAGTCGGTTAAGCGTCCGACTTTTGCTTGGGTCATGATCTCGTGGTTCGTGAGTTCGAGCCCCGCATCGGGCTCTGTGCTGACTGACAGCTCAAAGCCTGGAGCCTGTTTCAGAGTCTGTGTCTCCCTCTCTCTCTGACCCTCCCCTGCTCATGCTGTCTCTCTCTCTCCTAGAAATAAATAAAAATATTAAAAAAAAAATTATCTCTGAACTTACGGTTTGTAAATGAAGTCAGCAGAGCATGTATGTGAACCCAATATTCTGTCCCCTTCAAATGTAGTTAGTGACACTCTATGAGATCAGAATTCTGGTGGACTCATGATGCATGGAAGTGCAGTGAGACTCAAACTGGTATAAAGTAAGCATGTTATGTGTACAACTGAGTAAGTGGAAGTGTGACCACCCTGAAAGACCATGCTTTCCCTTTGAACCAGAAGTTGCTTCAAATACAAAAAGAAGGCAATAGTATTCTAAGAAACACTTCCTCATTAATGCTACTTCCGAGCATTTGCCAATGACTTACATTAGAAAGGATGCCCTACTCCATGCTGATGGTGCAAAAGCCTGCATGGGATTCTCTCTCTGCTCCTCCCTTGCTTGTTAGTTCTCTCAAAATAAATAAATAGACTTTAAACAAGAAAAAAAAAAAAGGATGCCATAGAAGAAAAGGGAAAGAAAGGGCAACCCAAAGTTCCCTTTTTTTTTTAAGTACATCCTTACTAGTCAGTAAGCCCAAGGGCTAGGACGTACTCATATCAAGAAGTGAAATGAAAGCAATAAGTATTGTGCAGTATTCCCGCTGTTCTGACCCAAACTAAATATATATGCATGCACAGCAGAGTTGCACAGTGGAAATGTGCTGGGCCCACATATGCACACACAAGCTATGAAATACAATCGGTGTCATTGTAGTAATTGAAGAGTGAAATGCTCTTAACTTTGCATTTAAAACTGGCATTGTATGGGCACCTGGGTGGCTTAGTCGGTTAAGCGTCCGACTTTCCGACTTTCGCTTAGGTCATGATCTCGCGGTTCGTGAGTTCGAGCCCCGCGTCGGGCTCTGTGCTGACTGCCAGCTCAGAGCCTGGAGCCTGTTTCAGTCTGTGACTCCCTCTCTCTCTGACCCTCCCCTGCTCACGCTGTTTCTCTCTCCTAGAAATAAAAAAATAATAAAAAAAAAACTGGCATTGCACAAAATAAAGAAGAATGGTACGATTTTGGCTAATAATTTAAATTTAGCATTTTTCTTTACTTAGAAGAGTAAACAGCAAATTTAAAAACCCATCATTGACCAGTAAAGCAGAGATTGCAGAAGGAAAAAGCTTTGTATTTTAGTACAATGGCACATTTCCCCCCTCTTTTTTTTTTTTTATAAAAAACATTTTTAATGTTTATTTACTTCTGAGAGAGAGACAGACAGACAGAGTGTGAGTGAGCGAAGGAGAGAGAGAAAGGGAGACACAGAATCCAAAGCAGACTCCAGGCTCTGAGCTGTCAGCACACGGCCTGACCTGGGGCTGGAACTCAAAAACCACAAAATCATGACCTGAGCAGGAGTTGGACACTTAACTAACGGAGCCACCCAGGCGCTCTTTCCACCCTCTTTTTAAAAGAGGGGCTCCACATTTCATTTTGTGGGGCGCCTGGGTGGCTTAGTCGGTTAAGCATCCGACTTTCGCTTAGGTCATGATCTCAAGGTTCGTGGGTTCGAGCCCCGCGTCGGGCTCTGTGCTGACTGCCAGCTCAGAGCCTGGAGCCTGTTTCAGAGTCTGTGACACCCTCTCTCTCTGACCCTCCCCTGCTCACGCTGTCTCTCTCTCTCTCCTAGAAATTAAAAAAAAAAAAGTAAAAGAGGGGCTCCACATTTCATTTTGTACTGGCCCTACAAATGATGTTGCCAGCCCTATTCTTATTTCCCAGACAAAGAGAGGCTCTGAGAGGCTCTGAGAGGCTAGGGAAACTGCCCAAGAGCATGCAGCTGGGGTTCAAACCTGGGCTACTCTAACTCCAGAGCCCAGGCTCCTAAACACCCCACCCATCTACCTATCCGGAAACCCTTCCCAAAGCACAAGGTGAATGAGGCTTGGACCAGTGGAGAAGGGTGGCCTCCTGCCTGGTCTATTCCTCCTGCCTCTTACTTCATGATCACCTCCTGTTTAAGCCCCACCTTCTCTCTCAAGCCTCTTTCTGGTCTCCTCGCCTCCAGACTTACCTCTGCATATAAAGATTGCCAGGGCCCCTGGGGGGCTCGGTTGGTTAAGCGTCAGACTTCTGCCCAGCTCACGATCTCACAGTTCCCGAGTTCAAGCCCCGCATCAGGCTCTATGCTGACAGTTTGGAGCCTGGAGCCTGGAGCCTGCTTTGGATTCTGTGTCTCCCTCTCTCTGCCCCTCCCCCCCCAAAAAAAAATAAACATGAAAAAATATTTAAAAAAGAAAAAGATTGCCTGACTGAGCTGGTGGCTTCATGAGTTCATCCCTCTGCTCGTGAACCTTTCTTGGCTCCCTGTTACTTCAGGGTGAAGTCCAAAGTCTTCAACCCAGAAATCACAGCCCTTTACCAGTTGGCATCTTCAGGTAAACTGATTTTCTCAAAATTCCTCAAAGTGGCCTTGCGCATTCCAGCTCCATCTCTTCAGTCACGCTGTTCCCCTGGCCTGGACTGCTCCCCTAAAATCTCTCTCCACTTCGGAAACTCATTTCCCTTGGCTACCTCAGTCCTGCGTATTTACTTTCCTCCCTGAACACTTTTGATGGGCTCTGAGTGAGGCCAGAGAAAGACCTCCCTTTGTCCCTCCCTCCCTCTTTCTAAGATATTTATTGAGGACCCAGCATGCACTGGAGAGTGTGAGGCCCTGGAGGGATGGCCCTTGCTCTCCCTGAGCTCACTCCCTCAGCCATTATTCCCAAATAACCACACCTAGAAACACCTTGTAGGGTAGCCATTGGAGTCGTGACACATGGCAGGGAAGGGGTTTTCCCAGTCAGGGAGCTCAGGGAAAATCTCCCAGAGAAAGTGACACCTCTGCTGAAATCTGAAGGAACAGGAGGGGGAAAAACGATCTGCACTGAGGGACGGCCCATGTCAAGTAGGCTTCGCGTGAGGCCTTGGAGGTGCCTGCTGTCTCTGGGCTCCAGGCTCCCTGTCTGTGACATCAGTGCTGGCTGTGGGAGGGACTGAGGACAAGACGGAGAGGCTGGGGTTGCCCTGCTCCCTACTTTGGTTTGTAAATGGATTTGACTGAAAACGCAAACAGCCCTAGAGACCTGGGAACCTCGTTTCCTCTTCACCAGGGTCACTCAGGCCCAGCCGGCTGGTGTCCCAGGCTCTCTAAGCCCCTGCTGCTGAGCACCGACTTTAAGTGCACTGTCTTCTCCTCCTACCTCCACTACTAGAACAGCCCCCTTCTGGAGGGGCAGGAAAGACTGGCTCCCAACTGTTCAGACCGGGAGATGCTCCTGTCTGTTACCTTCTCTCTGATGCCAGGTTCCTTTATTTTGATCTTTTGGGCTTTGGAGCCCCGTGTAAGGGTTCCCACCAATCCTCCTGGGCCTGGAGCCCCAACTGTCCTGGAGCCACTTCTCTCACCTGTCCCTTCAGCTTCTCTCTATGCTCTGAGATGGAGACCTTCATGCTCTCATCTCCCCTCAACCTTGCCTCTAAGAGAGTATCCGGATTTCCCAGCCCACCATTCATCCTCACTATGTTCCGCCCCCCATGGTTGCCATATGGGGGCCACACCTAGGGCATTGCACACAATAGGAAGTTTCTTGCCTCTGAGTCTTTACTTATTCCATTGCTCCCTCTGATGGAACACCCCATCTTTTAGTGCTCAGCC